AGCTTTAACAGGAGTGTCCTTCCTGCTTTACTGTATTTGTTACTAGTGAATGTCAGTAATCCTTTCAGTATCTTCCTTCTCCCATTGCTCCTGCATCTTGTGTCCATCTGCTGATGTACTTCTCGCCACTTGCCTCTTTCTGCCGCCACAGCACATCTTTGTCCCTCCCTCCTTCTGCTCTGCTGCTGCTGCATGCCCTTTCTTACAGCTTACTACCTCTGCCATGGCTTCTCCTTCCTTCCTTCCCAACATTATTCAATTGCCTCATCCAGATCTTTGGTGATGGCACATTCTTTTGTGCAAATACTGATGCAAAACAAATCAGCTGTCTTGAGGGGAAAAGAATAGCAAGTAGGAATTGTACGCCTAGACATCATCAGGACAGAATGTAAAACGTGCAGCTTCTACACAAGATTGGAAACATACTGCATTTAATGTTTTGTTTAATAACATAAAGTGATATATTATGCTACACATTCAATAAGAAAAAGTGTGCATAGAAATTTTCCAAATCTCTTCTTGAGAGCTTGTAACATTACATTACAGTTACAGCTTTATTAATGGACTTTAATTTCCTTAGTCTGGGATTTTAATCTGAATCAGTTCCCTGATCCAGTTCACCACATGGCCTCACAAAAAAATTATACTGCCACAGTTGAGGTGGTGGCACGGGAATAAGAACAAGAGGCCAGATGGAGGTAGATGTTCTGTAGACTGTTTCTGATGCCAAGAAAAATGTCCACACAGCTACTAACAGTCTAGATGGTGCCTTGTATGAGATGTCTTCTAAATAAGTGATGAGAAGTCAAATTTAATTTTCAGTTGCCATCAGATTTGCTGAGTGAGTGGGCTTTTCAGGCACCTGCCAATCCGGGGACATGGCAGGGTGGGTTCCTCAATGTGGAGTGTTGCCCATGTGCTTCCCCCAGGCACTGTGGGGCTGCTCCCCTGCTCTCCCTTTTCATCTGCTGCAGTGCCCATGGTAGCAGCTGCCTGCATAACTTGGGGGCTCCCAGCACAGAAGGAGACTTGTAAAATTCAATACAGCCACAGGCTCTCGTAACTCTTTTCACAGCTTTTTCTGCTGTTTTCTTGGGGATGGAAAGCGAGGAAATGGGCAGTTACATACCCAGGGTGCTGAGACCTGGCAGTGCTGAGACCACCTCCCTGGTGCAGATGTTGCCCTCTGTACTGAGCATTGCAGCTCTTCTCTTTTGCTGTTGGTTATTAATTAAATTCTATTGTCATTCTTTAGGGTACCCTCAGTAGGCTTTGAGAATCATACTTTGGTGCTAGGGAGGACAGGAAGAAGAGGAGGAATGATTCTTCATCTTCACTCTTGCTGCCTGGCTGGCAAGTATATGCCAGAAGGAACCAGCATAGCTGCCCTGTGGGTTTCTGTTGCTGAGTGCATCCAGGCAAAGCCAAAAACATGCAGAATAGTGTTCCGTAAAGTTAAAATATCAAGGAGGCGCCTACAACGATGTGTTGTGTTCATGCATCTTGTTTATATTAGCTTTGAGTAGCAAGTGGGTCCCCTGTAGAGATAGGCTGTGCCATCATATGCACATCCTGTCTGGTCTCAGAGAGGATGAGGCATATTTAGGACAGGAATCATTCTTACAATAAAGAAGGTGAGTGGTCATGTAGCTTCTGCTCTTTACAGTGCAGCTTTGCTCATATGAGTTTCTTCGGTCTTGAGAAGTCAGAGTATTATTTCCATAAGAGGAGTTTTGAGGGTTCTTAGCTCTTACCCTGGTGTAAACCAGCAGTGCACATAAACCACTCACAAGTTAGGCACTGTCTAATAAACATAATTGTCTTTCTTTTAGTTTGAATGAAATCACAGTGTACTTACAGCCTTGTCTTCCCTTCAGTTTGCTCATAAACGGAATTTTGTAGTATCTTGAGCAGCCTGTTTAAATATTTTAAATCAGTGTTTTCTAAGGCTTTTGGACATGTTTAGATACATGGCCCTAAAGTGAAAATGGTTTTAACCTGCTTAACACATAGCTGTGAACAAATAATTTGAGGTTATTTCAGAACTGAAATCATATTATAAAAGATGATGATAAAAATAATTTTAATATAAAATGTAAGCAAGAAAACTCAGAGCTTTTAGATTTCTTTCAGTGTCTTCCATCCATAACAATGCTTAAATAGAACAAAAATGCGCAAGTCCAGACTTTCTTTCTTTTTTTTCTGTTTGGCAAGTCAGGTTTAATAAATGCATAGGAAAAGCTGATGAGGAGGAGGGGAGGAGACCCAGACTGAACGCCAGCTTTTCTCCAAGGTCTCATATTGCAGAGCACTTAGATCAATAAAGAGAGGGTTAGCAGGACTCTCCTGTGTTATTGGATGTTGCTAGTCTAATTTCTCTGGAAATATACTTCCCAAACAGTCCCAGCTGTCCCAGGAATGCAGTTTAACTGTTGTTGTTCATAGTTCTTGATGGGAAAGAATTAAAAAATGTCATTCTGACAGAAGATTTATGCACTGAGATTACAATGATTGAATATCAGGAGTCAGGTAAAGTTTGTGCCTGCTCTCCGACTTGGTAGGACTCTCCCTGCTTTCTAAGCAGAATGACAGAGCACTATATTTTATTCTGTGCTTTAATAAAAAGGAAGGAAAAAAAAAGATTGCTATTGTAATAACAACATTTGCATTGCAGATGATACTTTTTTTGCTGGTTGCTGTTGAAAGCTACTGCCAAAAAAGCTTTGGATTGTAGGGAAGATGAAGCTTAGAGATCAGACACTGTATCTAGTCTGCTATTTTAGTGTCTCAGAAGGATAAATTTTCTGACTATTTCTCTAATTACAATAGGGAGATTTCAGTCTGTGTTTGAATCTAATTTTGAGGGTTCCTAACAGTAACTTTCTTTTATGCATCGTTTGTCAATGCACTGATGATGTCAGACTTCAGATCCTGGTAAGAACTGATGCACTTGTATCCAGCTTTTGAACCCATACTACACATAGGGTACCTAGATGGAAGAAAGAAGCTATTTTTTAGGCAGCAACAGTTTAGTTTTTAGAGTCTTCTAGTTAGTTGCTGTTGAGACAAAAAACTCCCCTCTGAGCAGAAGAATTAATGTGCCTGTGCCTTTCACCACCTCTGGTGGGGAGTTTGTCTCTGCTTCTCTCAGAGGGAGCCACAGTTCCAAAGGGGCTGTTATTGAGGCCAAGAACAGAGATCTTAGTGGTGGGGGCTAAGCCCCACAGAGCCACTCGTTCACTTCCCCCTCGGCGGGATGGAGGAGAGAGTTGGAAGGGTCAAACTAAGAAAACTCATAGGTTGAGATAAAAACAGTTCAATAGATAAAGCAAAAGCTGCAAGCCAAGCCAAACAAGGAATTCGCTACTTACCATTGGCAGGCAGGTGTTCAGCCAAGCCCAGGAAAGCAGGGCTCTATCACATGTGATGGTTACTTGGAAAGACAAGTGCTGTAACTCTGAATGTTCCCCTCCTCCTTCATCCTTCTTACCCCAGCTTTTGTTGCTGAGAATGATGTCATATGCTCTGGAATATCGGTTTGGCCAGTTGGGCTCAGCTGTCCTGGCTGTGTCCCCTCCCAATTTCTTGTGCGCTCCCGCCTGCTTGCTGGCAGAGCAGCACGAAAAATAGGGGCAAAAAAAAATGCCTTGACACTGGGCAAGCACTGTTTAGCAATGGCCAAAACATTTCATTGTTATCAGCCCTGTTTCCAGCACAAGTCCAAAACATAGCCCCCCATTCCAGCTACTATGAAGAAAATTAACTCCATCCCCATCAAAACCAGTATAGTTAGGAAAGGATGACTCATCGCAGAAACAACCCATCCCAGTTTATGGGCCGTATTTAGGTACCCATTCATTAAAATGTAATTTTTATAGTTATGAGTATTTTTTACAAACCTGGGGGGAGCTGAAAATATGCAACCCCAAAACTAGCTGTAGTTAGTTGTTGGCAGTGGCAACACCAACAATTCAAAACCAAATACGGAACTGCAGTTCTGAAGAGCTTGAAGCCAGAAGTGCTTCCTAAGGAAGCACCAGCCAAATAGCCACTACCTTGCATTGTTGGTCTGTGGCCCAGTTCTCTTTGTCTTTTTTGTTTTATTTATCTACAGGAAAATAACTGAAGCGATGAGTTGCCATTATCCACGTCTATTGACTCTGGTTTTTTCCCTTTCTTTACCAAAAATTCTTTCCTTGGGAGTAAGTAGGAGGCTCCTAGGGCACATGTCCCTCCAGGGGATAGACAGAAGACTCATTTTGAAAAGAAGGATATTGGGCACAAGGGAAAGTGTCCATTAGTTGTCAGCAATATTTGTACATTTAAAAATCATGGGAGTATTGTGGGAAGTAATCAAAAGAAGCAACATCCTCAAGAGGAGCACACAGGGAATCAGGAGGCCTTTGCTCTTTTCTCTCCTTTGCCAGGAATCTGCTAGGCATCTCAGTGTCTTGTTTTTTCTCTTTGTTTCACACTGCAGAATACTGCAAAATACTGTGTACAGTACTATAGAGGTCTTCAAAGCATTGGGAAGTTTAAATGCTAATGCTTTATTGTAATGATAGCCTAAAAATATTGCCGTGGTGCAGATTGTTTTTTCTTTTTTTCTTTTATTTGGAAAAACTGTAAGCTTCTAGATGTGTGTTAAGACTTCAGTGAGGCACTTGAGCATGCATTTGAAATTAGGCATGTGCATTAGTCCTTTTCCTGAATACACAAAGCTGTTAATTAGGGCTTATAGCCAGACTATTTGATTGTCTGAAGTATGAATAGAATGTTCTTGAGAGAGGAGAGAACCCCGCTTTTCAAGCACACGTGTATCCTGTTGGTAAAAATGAATAAAACCCCTCTAGTTAGTCATGCACTAGTATGACCTTCCATCTCTGAGTCTCTTCTCTTCCCTTGCTATGCATGACACTATATAGTGGGTTATGATCAATATGGTTAGTGCAGTAAGTGAATGTAATGATGCTAATGGGCCATTTCTTTATAATGATCAGGTTCTCCAGCCCTGCCCAGCAACATGGTATATTTTGGAAGCTCTCAGGATGATGAGGATGAAGAAGAGGAGGAGGAGGAGACAGAAGACACAAAAACAGCCACAAACAATGCTTCATCATCATGCCAGTCAACCCCTAGGAAAGGAAAAACGCATAAACAAGTACCAAATGGGCAAGGTAGGTCCTAAATAGTGCTCTTCTCCTGCACCCCTGGTAAAGACATATATGAGCTGAATGTGCTCAGTCCTTTTCTGTTCTTCTGGATCTGAGTGAAAAAGTGATGGAGTGAGATGCAGAGTTAGCATCGCGTGTTTTAACCTGCTTCTTCTGACAGTCTGAACTCTGTGGCAGAACTGTAACTGCAGGGCTGGAATTACATATATCTTAAAGGTCTTTTCCAACCTAAGCAATCCTATGATTCTGTGGGATAGGTAGATAAATAGATAAATATGTATACATACACAGACATATACTGGAGTTATACACACATACACATATACATATAGACATACAGTCATTATCTCTGGCTTTTTTGTGACTAACATTTAATTTTGAATTAAATTATTTTATCAAAGCTAAATAAAATATAAACCTCCGTAAGTGATATCAAAATGTGTGTCACAGGCAACACCTAATTTTTCACATGCTGTATTGAGACCACAATTGCAGTCAGTTAAGATATTACGCTCCTGTTCTTGATTGAAAGATTTTTATGGAAAAAACCTTTTCAAGTCAATTATTTCTTTGCAAATCAGTAAAAGCTGCATTCATTACACAGTGTGTCATGTCCTTGTGCCATATCTTGAAAAATGGATCTGTGTGTATTGCAACATCACCTAGCATAGAATGGAAGACCTAAAAGCCATGCTGAAAATTTCAAGCCTGCTGTAATGGTGCACTGGAATGCCAGTGTCCTGTGTGTTGTGGTTCTCTCTCCAGCAAGAGTTCTTGTATCATAACGATTCTTTGCTGTGTCTGCTTGACATAATTTCAAAATGTAGCCCGTGCTCTCTGTTCCCTTTCTTGGTATTAGTTTACCGTGAAAAACTTTCTTTCTGGTGACCACCCCTTCAGCTCTTCCCCTTTTACTAGGAGGACTGAAAAGAAGGTCTCTCTACAGTGCACTTTTTGAGAGATGATTGTGACCTGTGCTTGCTTTTTTTTGTTGTTCATTCATGCTACCCTGCTCCGAAGAAGAGATTAGTAGATCCCAATTACTTCACTGTGCTGATCCTCATCTCCACTTTTCAAAAGGGAGTTTTCTATAAAAGGGTGCCTTTGTTATACATATGCCAGAATTTTTTGTCATGGCTGTGTCTGACTTAGGTTTTATTGCACACCCAAGCTCAAAAACTCACCTTTTGCGGACAATTTGTGGAGATTTGCACACGGATGTTATGTCTAATAGCATTTCAGCTGTCAGCTGTGACCAGGAGCTTTAGTGCTGTGCTAGCCATAGATCAAAACTTGGCACTTAGGATTGATTTCTAAATAAACCCCCCAGAATAACAGGCACAAAACTCTACATATGGAAAATGAGATTGCATGCAACAGAACTGCTCCCTTAGAGTTTTAAATGTGATATATCATTACAAAAGGAGCTCATCATGTTCCTTGAGAATGTCCCAGATGGCAACCACTTTGAAATTAGCTCAAAACCGGAGACACCTGAAATCTTAATTGGGGGTAAGTAAAGGCAAACATAATGAGCCATCTAATGGCTTCATAATCTTTATCAATATAGATCAGAGTGAGAGTAAATGAAGCTTCTACTTTAATAGAGCTGCAAAAGACCTTTATAAAATACATAGGAGACAATGTGAGATGTTTTGACAAAGGTGACGAAACAGGAATTCCCAGAGAAGGCAGCTGCTGCTTCTTCGTCATTGTAATTTCTTTTTTTCTTCTTCTCTCTCTTTTTTTTTTAATTAAAATTTCCTTACCCAGGGGTATTCCCATTTTTTCAGTGTCTGTTATGTTGGTTGACAGCCAATAGTATTTTTGTTTCATGCGAATAAAGTAGGTTCTGGTTCATGTGTGTCTGTTTTAAATGAGACCACACACAAAGGCAGACCAGGGACGGGTGCAGCAAATGAACTTAATCTAGCGTGAGAGTCTATTTTTAATGAATTAACGTCTTTTGTTTTTAATATACAATGTGTAGTCAAGCACTTTGGACCTGAAAATGCTAAGCGTTTGCTATGACATACAGCAACAAAGGTCCAGAGCTTGATTAATGTTATTAGACAGCGTCAAATGATTGCTTTCTGCTAAATGGGGGCCAGAACAACTTTTCTGGGCGAAGTCATTTGTCAATATCCTCTTCTGATGCCAATATGGGGCATTATTAAGGTTGCACACCAAACTGTTTGTTATAACCAAGCCTGTTGAGACACCTTTTGGGCAGCTAACTCAACCGAGAACGCCCAGGCACGAATGGGAAGCACGTATAACACGTGGCATAGCTTGCTGCACAAGATGTAATTAGCTCAACTGACTTGTCGCCTTCCAACCTTACTGCTTACATAGATATATTTAAAGCATCGAATTGTTACCTGTGCCTTTTCATCCTCCTTTCGTAGTACTTCTGATGTGCTGCACACATACCCAGCTGTTAAAGAGCAAAGCAAAACGTTTGGCAGGAGAAGTATTCTCCCCTGCATCCATGGGAGTGTGCAAAAGGATATGTAACAATGTGCAAGTCTTTCCAGGGAGGTACTGAGTCTAAATTACATATCCCCGCTGCTCAGAGGAAATTCCAAGTTGTAGGTAAGAGGGTAGGCTTAGGTCTCTGTTCCTTTAAAACTTAATTCTTTGAATTCCTCACAACTAAATAAATCCCAGTTTGATTTAATTCTGCGGCACAATGGAAGGTTTTTTTCTTCAGGCTCACGAAGAAAAATATTTGCAGGTGCCAAGTGTTTTTCTAGGCAGGCTGTGATGATAGGGAGCTGGAAGATGCAGTTAGGGAGCTGTTGGGTTATGAGTCCCATCGTAAGAGCAAAAGAGGATAGGCGTTGCTCTACTTGAAAGGGCTTGTGGATTGGAAGAGTGCCTCAGGAGGAGCAGTGTACACAGATACAGTTGTATAGACAACTTTGAAAATGTATGCAGCAGGCTGCAGTTCCTCTAGTTAGCTGATTTACTCAAGAGGAATGATTGCAGCATCAGATGTTTCTCACACCAGCACAGCAGCTCCAAGGGGGAGAGAAGGGCACATCTGGGCCTCCATACCTGGGAAGGTCCTGTTTGCTGTTGGATGCCTGACAAGGACAATTAAGTTCTAATTTACATCCAGGAAAACAAAATTAGCCATTGTCATCTGTAACCAGACTTCTGCGTGAAGGCAAATCTGGTTTCCTTAGGTGGAACAAACCAGCTCCAGTGTGCCAGAAAACCTACTGGGTCAGAAATGGTTACTGGTTCATGCTGTGTTTTGTGAATATGGGGAGATAAAAACGTCTCCGCATGCCTTTTGGCTGAAATGAGCAGGGGAGAAAATAGTATAGGGCTTTTTTTTTTTTTTTTGTCTTCCCCTCTTGGGGCTCAAATTTCAAAACAGATCTGGCAGTAGCACGTAGTAAGCAGGCATTGCTAGAAATACTATACTCCACTTTAGGGCTGTCTTACTCACCAGAAACACAGAAGAATGTTTCACTTCTCCATTTGCAATGGATAATTTAGCGGAGTAATTTCCTTACATGTGTAGTAGTACAAAGAAGATGCAGGAAAAGATTGTAGATAGCCCTTTTCTTATTTCAGGATAGAGTGCAGTGCAGTGCTTGTATATTTCGGGCTTAAATGGCATATATTTTACATACATTACTGTTTGAGTGTGTTGTGAGAAAATTCTAATTTGTGGTTGCAATTCTTTATTTAGTTTTGGGTTTAAATAAATTTGGTATTTGTGGGTGGGTGCATAAGACAGAGGCTTAGGCTCACACATCTTTTTTAGTGAAATTAATCCTGAAGAGGTAAACATTTAGAAGAAAAATATTTTTGCATCCAGCTAAAATGCAGAATGAGAAAATTTCAGGCAGAGTGCTACAATAGTTAATGGGTAGGCAATTATTTTGATGATTTACAGCCTTTTGTTGAAATACCATGGAACCAGTAATTGTTGCAATAAACATTTTTGCACATTTAATTTTTCTGCAAAAATATGTAACACGAAAATTACCCGGTTTGCAGTAATTTACATATTTAAATATGCAAATCAGGCACAACACATTTGGGGATTTGTGGATTTTCAGTAGCTAGATGTATGACCTGTGGAAAAGAATAGGGGAGCTGGAAGTTGCTCAAAAAAAAAAAAAAAAAATTGAATTGTTATCCTGGTGCGAGACTCGTGATAACAGACAGACACTTCTTGTATGGACTTGCTGCTTAGCGAGTGACCCTTTTGATGTTGTTTGTGTCGTAATGGTTAGGTGAGAGTAATGAATTTGTGCTGAGACGAGACACTTGGTATTGAATTTTTGCAAACGGTGGCGTGGTGTCTCATACCAATAGCGCTTCTCCCACTGGCCTGATGTATTCCTGCGAGTGTAGGGTTTCAACTGAGTTACTGATGGCGTCAAAAAGAAATTCAGCGTTACCTCTCTGCCGTGGTTCTCCTGTTTGACTTCTGTTAGCATGCAGCTATGGAAATTTTGTCGCGGCGTCGCCCGCTGAGAAATTGCCTTGTGTCGCATTAGGATTGCCGGAGAAGAGCACAAACAGCAGGACCACGTGTACCATACAGTGTGGTGTTGGCCTTTTCTTCTGAAGTATGCCTTTGCTCCTGACTCTGAGTAGGTAGATCATGTTGAGGGGCTCCAGAGGGCAGCTTCTTTCTCTGGAAATGGCGTATAGAAGACTGAACGTACCCAACATTTAAGGAAAACAGTTGGCAGTATTAAAATACTGTGTTTTATGGTAGTAGATGATTGTTTTAGTTCCTTTGGGAGGGGAAAAGAATTATTGCCTGGGTCCTTTAACTCAGTTTGAGAGCCACATAAATGTTTTCACAGTGACTTAAAACTGAATTAAAGCCAGAGCAAGAATGTTTTTGTACAGTAACGGATACTTAATGCCAGAAAGTTGATTAATATTACATCTCTTCCCAAACACGATCTATGTAACAACATGAGGTTTGCATTGGAATAGCTGGCTCGGGTTCACAATATTGGCAAGGCTCCCTTTTCTCCTTCTAAAAACAAAACTTCTCCCTTTCACTTATCTTCCCTCTCTATTTTGGATGGTTTTATGAATGTGCAATCACTTGCTTTATGCAGCACAAGGTCTGCAGCATGTGCCATATCTGTACATGTACGGTTCACGTGCCTTCATCTTCCAGACACTGGCATACGGCAGAAGGGTTCAGTACTCTGCTGTCCATGTGAAACCTTTCCAGTTATCTTAAGTATAAAGCATATCAAGTGCAGGAGTAATCTCCGGGAGGGCTCGGGAAAGAAAGCTTTGCCCGTGGAGTCAACAGTTGTCTGAACCCAGTCCACTAAGTAATTCTGCTGCTTACACAGTGAAAGCCTGATTACTGTACATATTATAAATTAGCTTCTGAGTGGCTGGCTGGCTGGCTGGCTGTATCCTGTAAAATGTTTGTGTGCAAATTAATTTGTAGGAATCCTTCTGAAAATTGCTGAAAACACATTATGTTTATCGCTCACTACAGTGTCAATTCCTGTAGTAAATGCTTAGTTAATCTGTAGTAATTGAGCACATCTGTGGCTTTCCTTGACCAAAAATTTTATTAGACATTGTTATAGCTGCACCTAGTACACACAAGATTTGCAGTTTGCGTTGGTTTGTGTAGGGATTCTTTATCACAGCTTCAAATGAGACACCCGAAAGTCCCTGCATGGGATCCTGGGTGGATGTTGGTGCCAGGGGTTTAGTTCCCCCGATGCAGAGAGCACTGTGATGCGTCCGTGGGGATCACGCCTGCCATAAGGTTTTGCTCTGCTGCCATAAATTGTATCAGTTGTTTAGAAACCCCCAGCGCTTGTGAGCTGTGAATGTGGTGGTTCAGTTTCTTTGCGTTTGATCGTCATTGCTAACGAAAAGGTCCACAAGTATTTCACTCTGGGACTCTTATTGTTTCAGCTAAATAATAATTGCTTTGGAGAATGCAGCATTTTGAGAATAAGCTTTCAGATGGATTTATTCTATTTGGAGTGTCTGAACACTAATAACTTACTTGCACTTTTAATTATCTTTTAGTAGTGCTCTTTAACTATAAGCTGTTCGGGAAATACAGAGTTGGTTAAGGTAGCATAAAATAATCATAATTCAAGAGTACAAATGATTTCTGCTTCAGTAATGTTAGTTTCACCACTCCTGTGGGTTGGACTTTTTTTTTCTGTCTATTTTTTAATGAAGTTATTGCTTCAAGGATGAAACCTTTATTGACTACACTCTAGCAAGGAAGAGCAGAACACTGGATATTGCACCTCTCAGAGTTATCTGTAACGGGAGATTGTAGCTGGGACATGAGTATCTGGGGTTAGTAAAGTTTAAGGGTACACCTTTTCTAATTTTTGGAATGCTTCAGAAATGTTTAAGAACTGTCAGATGTGAAGGAGAATGGAATTTGCTGCATAAGAAGATACAAAAGAAATAGTAATGATTTAATTTTTTGATCAGATTTGGTCTCAGTAATATTTATTGCACAGTTTTGGGGGTTTAATATTTCCTTTGAGAAGTGGGTGTTTCTGTCTTATCATCAGTTACTCTTCAACAATGAGGTTTCTTGGGGGGATTTTTGGTCTTTGCTGGTGATTTCGTCTTTTCACTGAACCATCTTACTATCTGTATTGTCCTAAATATCTTATCATCTAGATAACTTTCTTCAACATTTTTAATCAGATGAGAACAAAATCATAGTCTTGGGAATTCCCCCCCTCCCCTTAAATGCTTGGCTTGTAATAGTGTTTTGTAATTACCCAAGTGAACATTTTGATACTTGTTCACATAATATGTTTGTGAATTTTTCAGAACTTACTGTTGCAGAAAGGTTTTGTACCCATCTATCTGGATGTAACAGTTATCTAGGTGTTGGAAGAAACAAACATTGATTTTTATAGAAACTGATACCATCTACTGTTTAACTAGAGACAGCTGGGCTAGAACTGTTTTGCATCTGCATCTCCTTTTATTGTGTTTTCAGACTTTAGGCTTTTTAAGCTTTTCTTATGAGACTGAACATTTTTTCTCTCTTGTTTCTCTCTTCTCCCTTTCAAGAATCTTACAAATTAAGACAAAAGATAATTACTCAGAGGGTAAAACTGGCAGGGTTCCCACGACACTTAAAATTAATGAGCTGTTGCATATAAAATATACCTTGTCTCATGTTCACTTTCTTTTTTTTTTTTTTTTTTTTTTTTTTTTTTTTTTTTTTTTTTTTTTTTTTTTTTTTTTTTTTTTTTTTTTTTTTTTTTGGTGAACCATAGAACTGCGTAGTTTGGCTTTTTGGCTGTGTTTTCTGTTTTAGTGATCTCAGGTTTATGAAGTGGCAACTGATTACAGAAAACTAATCTCTCTGATTTAATGTTTCCGTAGGAGCAGATCAGTATATACAATATGTCCCCTCCAAAGGAAGATATCACTCGCAATGATAAAATACATATTAACAAGACTGCCATTGGTTGTTTGTGCTATGTCCTATTAAAAATAAATAGTTGTGCTTTGTGCATCTGTAGCGCCTTCCATCTGATGTGAGAACTCCTTACGAAGGAGGATAAATGTATTGTCATGTACTTCCTGATAGGGGTTGGCAATTATTATCAGTTCCATCACTAGAAATGAGACACGAAGGGTTATGTTATTGAAATCCCCGAGAAATCCTTGGCCGGCTGGGGCAGCGCCAGGTGTTCCTGAGCTCATGAGTGACAGAGCCATGGGGAAATTTGCAGTGACTTCACTGCCGACAGCTTTTCTCTCATTCTTACTCTGTGCAATGGGGAAGGAAGAGAGGAAGAAAAGCAATTCCGATTTTTTCTTTTTTACAAAATCTACTTCAACACTTGTGATTGACTAAATATGATGAGGGACCTGAAAATCAAATTTGTCAATAGTTTACTGGAGTTTCAACTGTTGGAGGTGCTGTGGGAAGCTAGATAGCTGGTTGAGAGGGTTTGGAGGTAGGTGTCTACTCAGAAGCAGCTTAGCTGCCCCTCTTCTGTCCAGCAGGATTGTTGAGTTTTTTATTACTACTATTTATTATTACTGCTGCTACTACTGTCATACTACGGGACATATGTGGAGACAGCTAAGCTTTACAAAAATGAGATAAGAAGGTATGTTATTGTCATGTTTAGTGACAAAAGAAGGCCTTCGTTTCACAGGAAAACAGTAACTTAATTCATTTAGTTACTTTTCCCAAACAGATGGTGTGTGTTGTGTGTAATACAAAAATTTTTTACATACTTGTGCTATTAAGTATTTATGAAGTTTCTTATTTACATCCTTTCCTAAAACATGGTAAAAAAAAGGCAGAGGTAGAAATCAAGAGCAGATGAGTAGAAGACAGAAGGGCACCTGCCATGGTGGATGTTGGACCATAAGCCTTGTGGACGTCTGTCAAGTGCTTCACTGAAGAGGGAGCGTCACTCACATGAATTCGTCACATTTTTGACTAACAAACAGATAAATGTGATGTGGTTTTTTTTTTTAACCTCAGTTTTTCATCTTCCCTGACAACAAAAGAGCAGTGAATATTCTTAAATAAATTCATCAGAGGGACAGGAAAAAAACTTGCTTGTATATATTTGAATAATATTTATTGTACGAAAAATAACGGTTTCTGTTCCATGCTTTCCTATCCCTTCACTTCATTAGAAGGCTATGGTGCTCAGCACAGATCCCAGCATTACTTTATATGACATGTTCCAAAACGGTTTTAGTATTTTCCTTTCTTTGCAGAAGTACCTGTTTCTATTTGCAGTTTTCTGCTACAGGCAAACTGCTGTCAGTTTGGTTCAGCAGTTTGGATATTGATAAAAACAAAACATGCTTTTTCATGGAACGTTTCCTTTCCTCTACGCTGGTGTAAAAATAAATCTTTTTTTTCTGTTTAGGTTATGTTTAGAATTCCCTTGCTGCGGTAGCAAAAAAAAAAAGATAAACCTGTCATAAATAAAAATCAAACTCATAATTCTAAATTTAGGTCAATCAGAACAGTAATATACCTTGTATGTTTTAATTTGGCTATTGAAGATAATGTGTGTTAACAAGCAAAGGAAATACTTCAGTAAATCTGCTTATATAAAGAAATATGCAAAATAGTGCTTAGATTACTGATTTAACTTTATATATAAGAAGACATTTGCTAAATGTCCAACACCGAGAGCAGAGAAAGTTCTGATGTTTTGAATGAAGTGTTTGGTCTTGTATATTTTTTTGTTTTGTTTTCTTTTTTTTTCCTCAGTAACCTGATTTTCTCTCTTCTCAGTTTTCAATGGGTCCAGCAAATCATCGAAGGAGAAAGAACCTGCTCAGAAACACAAAAGCAAAGAGGCCACACCAGGGAAGGAGAGGAACAGCGAACATAAGGCTGAGAGTCGAAAAGACCAGGCTGCTGCTAATCACCATCCTACTACAAACACTGGCTCCTCTACGAAAGGGCTCACTGCTAACAACCACCACACTCTTCATAGATCGGCTCAGGACTTAAGGAAACAGGTAATGAGTTGTGCTCTGCTGTGGACACATGGGAAACACACGCTTTTAAGGTTCTAACCTCCTTTTTCCACTGCTTTGTCTAGATTGAGCATGGGAATCCTTAAAAGCGTACTCTGGAGACATCAGGGGGTTAATTTTCAGAGAGAGAAAGAACGGAAAAAGAAAAGTGTACATATTTGGGAAGTCAGTATTGTAAAGCATGGTTTGCAACCCTCTCTTTATATTATCCAGTACATACATATGAAAGAGTAAAGTTCACATAACTGTTTATGAAACCTTTCTGACTGGCACTCTTCCTGGCCTCCATGCTGACAGTGCCAAGGCTGTCAGCATGTGGAACAGTGAACTGCTTTTGTGTATGGCTGGTCTGCTTGGGTTATCTCAGAGGCTCACTGGCACTGTAAGAGAACCTCACACTGCACTTGGGTGCTTTGTCTTGCGTATGGGCAGCGCAAACCTTGGAGTCTGGGAGAAATGTTTTGCCCAAGGCATAAAGAGGATGCTTCAGAATATTGCCTCTTTCACAGCGGATGGACCAGGTGGGAGAAATTTTTTGAGTTCATGTTACTGGGTTGAAAGCTAGCAAAAAAAAAATCAGCAAGAGATTTGTTTCAGCCCGACTTGAATTCTGGTGTAGAAGTTTAGCAGACCAGTCTTTCAGTGCCTGTGATTGGCACTTGGACAGGATTTGTCTTCATCTATTTTTGATGATTGGGTCAAAGGGCTCCTAAAATAGCAGCTGTCAAATAAGGTTTTACAAAAGACTTTCAAAATCCCCACTCAATGTCCTTATTCAGTCTGGGGCTGGGTTAGCAGAATACCTGCTCTACTGCAATGCAGTACAGAAAGCTTGCTGCACTTACGCCTTTTAAGTGGTTTTTTTTTTTTTTTTTTTTTTTTTTTTTTTTTTTTTTTTTTTTTTTTTTTTTTTTTTTTTTTTTTTTTTTTTTTTTTTTTTTTTTTTTTTTTTTTTTTTTTTTTTTTTTTTTTTTTTTTTTTTTTTTTTTTTTTTTTTTTTTTTTTTTTTTTTTTTGTTTTTTTTTTGTTTATTTGGTTAATTCTCAGTGGGCCAATTAGAGACAGTCTTTATTTGCTGGCATCTAAAGGTTTTTTTCCTAAGTAGGCTGACCTTGCCTGCTTCTTTAATTCACCATGGCAATTTTCCCTTATCTAGTCATCAGCTTGAATGTCTGCCTTCTTTTGCATCCTTTTGGATTTCTTTTTTTGTGTTTGCCAGCATCGTATAGCCCTTGCTGTGACGTGCTCTGTGATGAGCTCTTTATGTTGAAGAAGTTTCCCAAAATGTAAGGATGCGCATCTTAATTCTTTTAACTTACTGGAACACTTGTGTGAAGTGCTTTAAAGTTGTATCATCGAAGTCTGAATGGTTAAAATTGTTGTGAAAGTCAACTGCTGTCACTTGTGAAGGTGGTTCTGAAAGGAAAAAGTTAGGTGTAGAACAATTTTGTCCACCATCCAAGTGGTTTTGCTTTGTAGAGTATTAGATGTTTTCAGTTGTGCTACACGAAATGGAGAAGAATTTTAAAGCAATGCAGTACACACCCCTCACAAAGGGTGGTCCTCAAGCATCAGAAAATAAGGGGTTGTAAGTTGAGATGATGATTTTTTTCTTTTTTTTTTTTTTTTCATGAAGGAATGTTAGGCAGCTAAATTTCCTTCTGCAACCCACAGTAGCATAAGTACTTTCTTACCAATTTTAATGAAAATGTGGCTCTCACTAATTAAAAGTGGATTATACATTTTGCCTAAGAGAAATATTTAGCTTTGTCCAAAAACTTAGACTTACCAGTTATGTGATCTTGGTAGATTTCCTGCTGTTGTCCTGAGTCTTTGACTTTTTCAGTATTTTCCCAAAGGAGACTTGTTTGCCCAGGGTGCCAGCCACATCTTCCTCCTTCTTCCACTATGCTTTTGCTCTCTGATGGCTGCATTTACATGGTTTATTTGTGTATGTGTGTTTGTTTTGTGTGTGTTTGGTCTTATAGAAAATAAAGACAGAATACTAGACTTTATTTTTCCCCCCTCTCTTTTTCTTCTGTCTCTGCTGTCCTGGTGAACCCTTGCACTTGTCATGTGTTCCTTATCTCTCTTTCTTCATCCTTTTCCATCTTTCCAAATCCTGTACTTCAAAAGGGTTGTGGGCAAAGGAAATGTAGTTCAATGGAGCCCTCTCTTGGCCTAATATGGTAATTTAGCTCTGCAAAACGTGTCAGCACAGAACTATTTTTTATGAATGAATTCGAGATTAGTTGCATAACATGAATTTCTTTCGGACCAAAACTGTTGTTAGTGTTGCTAAATCTGCTCTTATGAGTATGGTTTTTATCTAGCAGGTTGTTTGTTTTATTTTTTGTGTCTGTTTCTGGAGGCTGGATCCGAGGTGTGATGCAGAGATGTGTATGTGGACCAGTTCAAACCAAACAAACCAATTGCTGCCTGACTATGTGCTGGTCCCCTTTGTCTTTTAAAAGACAACAAAATTTAAAATCCATGTTTTACTGCAGGGCAAATGTTCAGTAAAGCAGAGAAAAGAGTGGTCTGAAGACAAATACATGCCATCAAAACTGAGAATACAGCAGAAAAGCAAAGATAAGATTATTTGCATCCCTAGTTTCACCTTTAGCTCAAGACTTTGAGTCATGTGAGCCTGACGTCAGTCACTTTATTACTACAAGGGGACACAACTAGGGGGGTGAAGGAAAGGCTGTGGATGATGTCTACCTGAACTTCAGTAAAGCCTTTGACACCATCTCCCACAGCAGACCAGGAATGTGTCAGAGGTAATGACTGACCAGCCAGAATTTCATACTGGTCGATGTGAAATCCTGAATCCACCTGTTTCTTTGATGGTGGGCTGTGGCCATGTTGTTTGTTCCACTTTTTTTTCCCAACTGGAAGTCATTTTTTGTAGCTGGTTCCACTTTGAAGCATGTTCTGTTCTGGTCTGTACAGTATGACTGTATCTTAAACATTATGTCTTCCTCTCTGAAAAAAATATCAAAATGCCTCTGGGCATTTGGTGAGGGAAGAGGGAGAAGCATTTGGAAACCGTTGTGTTATGTCTGCTGTAGAAAGATTATAGTTCTGAGGAAGTTTTCAGCGGTGTTTCATCCTTGTGGTGTCTCCTTGATTAGCAACCAGAAAGAAGTAAGTGCATTCCACATGGTACTCTCAAAACCAAGTGTTCTCTATTTCAGGACCTGTTCATCATTGATAACTTCACCAAGTTTGAATAAAAACTCAAAATACTGTGCTTACCGTCTAGGATTGGAGGTTAAGTAGCTGAAGCTTTTGTACCTGTTCAGTTCAGTATTTGGCCCTGAGAGATCTAAACTGTAGAGGTATTCTAACCACTAAACAGTTGCTGGTTTTTTGTGGAATTCAGTTTGTCAGAGTTTTGTATCTTGGCAGTTTTAATTCTTGCCTAAAATTTATGGTGCTGATGGCATGTTTTCCTTTGAATAGGAAGCTGTGAGAATCTTGCCTTTCTTCATGACCACTTTTCTATGCTTTGTTCTCAGCCCCTGTGTCACTGTTGCTGAAGGAGTGCCCTGGGGGTGGCCCTTCAGACTTCGTCAGGAAAGATTTTAGGCAGGCTGGAGTGACGAGGTTCCTCCACACAGTCTGACTGGTCACTCTTGGGGTGTTTTACCTGACAGCACAGTAATACAGCTATAGCCTCCTGAAACCTTCTGAAAACCTCCTGTAGAGGAAGCTCCACAACATCCATTGACAGCTTCTTCCTGTATTTTCCTTTTCTACTAATAAGCACGTTTTCCTAGTTGTGTCTCAGATCATTGTTGTAGACAGTTAAAGGGCTTTTATTTCCTCCCACTTCTCTCAGTGAACATGGAAGGAGCATTTACTGTCTCTTTTCAGAGGGGCTCGATATGCATCAGAAGACTGTTACAGAGTTGTCCCATAGTGATCTCTTCCAGAGTAATTAAGCCCAACTCCCTCGGCTTTTCAGCAACAATCTTGTTTTCCAAATACCTGAGCACTTTGTGCTCTTACAGATTTGCTCTTCTGTCTGAATTTTTCTCACAGTGTGGATCCAATTCTGGATCCAGCTCTACTGAAGGAAGCCCGTGCTCCCATCCCTGTCTCCCAAGTGCATGCTTTTTTCTACCATTGCATTTTGCAGCTCGCTTTGGTCCCCAAATGTTTTTCTTCCCCTATGTGTCATTCCTAAAAATAGCACTTCCTCCTATTGTAGAAATGTTCTGAAATAAGTTCTTCAGGGTTGCCTTTGATTTTGATCTTGTCTCCAGAGTGATTACAGCCCCTTCCAGGTGTGTTTCACTGTCAGATTTTATGATACTGGAAATACTTGGTAGAACCAAGGCTACGACAAGTCCCTGCAGACAGACACGTGAAATCCTCTCCCACTGTAGGAGTGGACTATAACAATGAAAACTTCTCTTAAGGATGACTTTAATCCGTTGTGAAGCCACTTTAGACTAATTATATCTAGGATGAGTGTCAGGAGTTTGTTTGATAGAATGTCCAATGGGTCAGTAAGTGGAGTCCTACTGAAGCAGAGGTGTGTCTTTACCTGCTCAGCCAGGTGTCTGTCAGAAGATGATTAGATTTGCTTGATGTGCTATTTTGGCAAAACTGTGGGTGGGTCTGGGTTTGTTTTTTTTGTTGTGGTGTGCTAGTAGTTTTGTTTTAACATTATTTTATTATCATTTATGTGTTTACGAAGTAACTGTTTGATAATTTGTTCTAGAATTATTTTAGGATTTGAAGTTAGGTGGACTCCCTGTTTGCCCCCAACTTATTTCCACTTGTTTTGTGGTGCTTGATCTCTTCCACTGTTTGTTGTCTTGTATTTTTAAGGTATTTTTAATTTTGTTTTCTGTTTTATGTCTCTTGCTAAGTAAAGTTTTTTTAGCTCTGTGGCCTTTCTGATTTTAATGCATGCTTTTGCTGTTCCTGTATAATTGCCCTTAGTCACATAATTGTATTTCCACTTCTTACTGTGATTATTTTCTGATTTTCCAGTCGTTAAGAGAACTTTGTGAACAGCCATAATGGCCTGTGCTTTGTTTGGTTTGGATTTTTTGCAGGTGGATTTTTCTTTTCTTTCGTTTTGTTTTTGTGTGGATTTTTTTTAACTCTGTTGTCCTTTCTCTACTGTTGTCACATCTTAGAAATAAAAACTCATTTCATGATCACTGTCACCCAGATTACTTTCCCCTTCCAGTTCTCAGTCAATTCTTCTCTATTAGTCTAGATGAAATCTGTAATCAATATTCCTGGCTGCTTATAAAGCCAGAGGTGTTCAATGCTTGTTGTGACTGCAAGAGGCAGTCTTACAGTCTCTCAGCAGCTCTCTACCCATGACTGTTTTGCAGCATGAAAAAGTGCTGTAAAAGTTAAACCCAGGCCTCCATTTCAAATACAGTACTGCCCAAATTTCAAGGGAAATGGGTAAATGCCTTTCTGTTTGCAAGTGTTTGCTTTCCAGATGATATCTCATATATCTTCGAAAAGCTCAAGGTAAAAATGCATGTCATCAGTTAACTGGATTTTTCTGAGTGTTTCTACCTCACAAGCACTAGAAGGACAAGAATATGGATGGTTTTTAAAAGGGCTCCTGCTGCAGCTTCTGGAACACAGAGGATAAAATACACAGTAAATACACACACACACACACAGAATCTCCAGGTTCCAGTTCCTCTTTCATAAGTCACATAGCACAATACTTTCAGTCTCCATCTGATCCCAATTTTATAGCATCCCCACTTTTTGTAAGTGACTACAGTTCTTACATTTATTTGAGAGAAGCTGTCATAGTTACTGATTTGGCAAGGATTTTGAAATCCCGCAGGAGAAAGTATTATATCTCTGCAGGAATGGTGTTACTCACCTGAGTGCTGATGAGGGGTGATTGTATTGTATGCTTTCACTTTGAGCAGTTTTGTCAATTGTTCCTGATTTTTGGATGTGTTTTTCTGTGCTCACAGTTGTTTAAGGAGGTGAGGAGACAATGTTTAAAGTTGTTTAAATGCTAAAATTAGTTTGAGGTTTGAAATTGAACTTTGTTTTCTGAGTAGCGGGGTTTAACTTTGGCAGTGTTGAGCTATCTCAATTCCCTTTGTAGCTGAGGGTTACTTTTGATGCTTAACATATCTTATAGTTAAAATATAAATTTTAGTTTCATAACTGGCCTTAACTGTCTAACAGAAAACAGTGGAGTCCAGCAGTTGTAAGTTGCATCGACACTATATGTTCTAATAGAATGTGTGTCATCAAAACTGCCCAGATACCAAACTTGAAAAAAAATATAAATTCATTGGACTGCTGTATACATTTTCATTTCAGATTATCAACTTCAGCAATGACATGCCTGTCAAGATTTAATATGTATGACAGACTGGATCCTTCATGGCCATCCTGAGCTGTTGGGTTCCATATCTCTTTTTAGATGTATGAATGTGTAGACAGGAGGTTGGTTTGGATCTCAGTGTGTGTTTTTTGCAAAAAATGCACATTCCAGTTAGAGTAGAGAGTGTACACTGACCACGTTGTCTGCTAAGAAGCAGTGAAATGTGTGTGCACTTGAAGTTGGTTGGGGGAAAGAGAGAGAGTGGCCAGAAAAGGAGATAACAACGGTGTTAGTGTGTAAATCATACTGACTGTGTTTTGTAATATGATAACAGGTGTTCTGCTAGGCAAGAAAGGGAGTAATACAGCAAGGGACTTCAACCTTATTACTGCCGAGGGCTTTTTTGTTAATCTAAAAAAAATTTCTATTTTATTTTGTTATTATAAATGCCTGGTTCTCTGCCTTGCCTGCATGAAAACCATTATAAATGAAGATTGTACGAAACAGCCAGGAGTCAGGACTGCAGAAATATGGCTGTCTAGCGAATGGGGCACTGGGTGGAAACATTATTAATTTACTTTTCTGTTTTCTGTTTCCTTCCTTCTGCTCCTCCTGCAACACTTCTGGCATTGCAGGTTTCTAAAGTCAACGGGATCACTCGAATGTCATCTCCGAGTGCAAATGCAGCCAGTGCCAAAAAGATGAGAGAAGTCAGACCTTCACCGTCCAAAACTGTGAAGTACACTGCAACAGTGACAAAGGGAACTGTCACATACACCAAAGCCAAGAAAGAACTGGTCAAGGAAACCAAACTAAATCACCACAAACCCAGTTCACCTGTCAACCACACAATCTCAGGGAAAATAGAAAGTAGCAATGCAAAAACCCGCAAACAGGTGCTATCCCTTGGAGCATCCAAGTCTAACAATACCGCTGTTAATGGTGTAAAAGTCAATGGAAAGTTGAACCAAAAGACATGCACTAAGGAGGTGGGGAGACAGTTAAGGGAGGGGCTGCGCAACTCGAAGAGGAGGCTGGAAGAGACGAATCACATAGACAAGATACAGTCGCCCACCAAGAGAATGAAAGGGGCCGTCAACTTGACAGAAGCTGCCAGCAAAAAGGCAGCAGTAGAAAAGCCTTTGCTGAATGGACACCTTAAAAAGGAAGTGCCAGAGAAGAGTTTGGAAAGAAATAGGCCGAAAAGAGCCACTGCTGGAAAGAGTACGCCAGGGAAACAAGCACATGGCAAAACTGAAAATGCCTCCTGTGAAAATCGTTCTACCTCTCAAGCGGAGTCCTTGCACAAGCCACAAGACTCAATGGGAAAGCACGAAAAGGGTAGTAGTAAGTCTGGGTGGGGGATGCTGGGGGAGATTCCCATCCTTAGGCCCTCCACCAAGGAATTCCATGACCCACTGATATACATTGAGTCAGTCCGAGCTCAGGTAGAGAAGTATGGGATGTGCAGGGTGATTCCTCCTCCAGACTGGAGACCTGAGTGCAAGCTAAATGATGAAATGCGGTTTGTGACACAGATTCAGCACATACACAAGCTAGGCAGGCGCTGGGGACCCAACGTGCAGCGGCTGGCCTGTATCAAGAAGCACCTCAAATCTCAGGGCATTACCATGGATGAACTCCCACTCATAGGTAAGGGCTGTGGTTTCCTTGGTCTTTTGGCGGTGCTTGTTCGTGTCCGTGCTCTGTTTGCCTTTATGCTTAACCAAATCCCTGTTCAGTTAACCCTGCAGAGCTCTGGATCTGTCTCTTTGTCCATTGGTCAGGCACGATGCAGGTAGGTTGTCGGAGAGCTTTCCAGGGAGACTTTTTATACTGACATTTTCCTCCTGTCTTTTTCACCCAGGGAAAAAAAAAAACCGCTGTGTGGTATTTTGGTCTCCAGATTTCAGGATCTTTCCTTTCCCTGCTGTTTAATTTTATAGGTGGTACAACTATGGATATTGATAGCCTTGTTTTAAACATTGCCTCAGAATATTTTCCAGACCTTTCTAAGCATGTTTTCCAAACAGGTTGCGGTGCTGCCAAGCTCTAGTACATTTTTTCCTCCCCTCCTCCTTTAAAAGCATTTAAGGAAAGGGGAAAGAAAATATCTCAGAACTGACTTCTGTTTGGGTACTCAGACACTTAAAATCACAAATTTGCAGTGACCTGCTGCCATTTAACAACCATTAAGTGTCAGGAATAGGCAGTAAAATGTAGTTGATTGCAAAATGGAGGTTTCATTATTTCTCCCAGCAGGTGTCTGCCAGGGCTAATGCCTGAGTGAGAATCACTTATTTAACAGAATTCTTGGTTTATGGTCTGCTGTCAGATATGACACGTGACAAAAATGTGACAATAGTTTGTAAAAACATGACAACAGCAGCATACAAATGAACTACTGAATGAGCTACCTCCATGTCTACTGCATTTGCAGTCATGACATAGTAAGAAACTTGTGTTTTCCATTTTTGTTAGCTCTTCCCTTTCGTTTTTGAAGTGTTTTGAGTCAGAGCTCACAGGACCTGCATGTTGCAACTTGAGGCTAGAGTTTTGCCTTTGAGGCATTATCCGATCAGAGGCAGCTATCAACGCTAGTTGGATTAAAGGACACACTTTTCTGTTTAAACTACTCACAACACTTCCTCCCCCTGCCCTGGTTTTCAAACTTTATTTTATATCACATATGGTAAGCGAGTGAAAATGCATGAAGGCACACAAAGAGATTGTGCTATGGGAAACAAGGCAGGGAACAGCAGAGAAATAACAGAATTTAAGGGGGAGGAACAACAGTTAGCACTTTGTTACAATAGCCGTGCAAAAACATTCAAGGAAATCTGAAAATTAAAATCACTCAAGCAGCAATAAGTGAACATTTTATATGCCTAATGTATGCAATGGTTGTATGCTAATAGCAAAGAATAATGAATTAAATTTACATTGGGAAGAGAGAAAAGAAAATGTGCAAGACAGCTCGATTAACGCTCCTGGAACAATGTTAACTTTTTAATGAAATACCTTAACTTGGCATTAAGATGGCATTACTGTTAATTATTTGTATTATTTAAGCACCTAAGAGCCTAATGAATAGGCAAGGATTCTATTCTGCTGGGTGCCATATAACCACAGTAAATAGTGGTCTCTTATAAAATTTTCATCCTGTGTATCCTTTCTGTAGTTAATTTTCTACCTATCCTGTGTTTAAAATCAAAAGCAAAATGGAGAAAAGAAGCTGGAGATCATCCGTGTAGAGAGGAAAAAATCGGTTGGTTCCAGCAGGAAACATATAAAATAATCTGTGGTGATAAATGCACTCTTATTGAAGTAGACATGCATACATATCCATTCTTTGAGGGCCAAATCACATTTCCCTTGAAGTAAGTGGGAGTTTTGCCAACGGCTTGTGTAGTGCCAGCATTTGGTATTAAATGCATACCTGAAGATCTAAGATTTTTAAAATGAGCTTGCTCACTAAGCAATTTAAAAATAGTCCTAACTTAGGTAAATTAAGGTAATTAAAAACAAAAAAAAAAAAAGTCAGACACTATTTCTGCATAATATATGCCAGATCTCCTATTTTGCTCTAGGTGCAAATGAGGTTAGACCTCCTATTTTTTGGTGGTGTTGGGTTTTTTCCCCCTCCCCGCTCCCCCCTTCAGTCCTTCAAGGAAAGTTTAAGCAGCATGCTTAGGTCAATCCTGGAAAACATCAGTGGGAGATATAAATGCTTCCAAAAGTTCTGACTATGTGAAATGGAATTATAATTGAGACCATTTTGTAAACCTTAGCTGTAGGCTCCAGTTGAATAATGTGCTACTCGAGCTCTAATATTGCAGAGTGATTATGAGTGATCGTTCCATGATGCAGGAGAAAATCGAGTTTCTTAAATAGCTCATAAGCAGTGTTGAAACTAGGACCTTAAGATGGGTGTGTGCTGTTTGTCCCACTGGAGAGTGCATATAATGTTAAATCTGGACCACACTTCTTTCCGAGTTAAGGAGTATGTTATTCAACTTTAGGTATGTTACTGGATCTTTTGGGGTGGTAAGCTCTCTTGAATTATGCCTTTAGCTTATTTGTGACCTGCACATATAAAACACCAGACCAAAAAAGTAAAAGCCTGCAATAGAGGCCAGCTTGAAAGTTACGCTTATGTTATGTTACGTTTGGAAGATAAAGAGGAAACAAAGAAAAACTTTTCAAACCCATTTTGGTTTTTCCTTCCCCAATGGTGTTTACCTTTTCTCAGCTTCAAGACTTAAACCTCTGTAGCACCATCCCCTTCATCACCATCAAATTTACTGGATAGGATAAATCTGCTGCCTCATGGCCCTTCCTCCACCCTTATCATATGTTACTCAAAGCCTTATCCTTGGTGTTGGCTGCAGCAAAATCCTTTCCTGCCTCTTCACACCTTTGCCCAGTGCTGTGTGGGCATCATTAATGCGAGCAGCCTCTGGTGCTGCTCTGCCTTCCTTGGCCTCAAACATTGCCATCCCAAAGCATGGCACGCTGCTGAGCCTCCCTTCTCACTGGATTGGCACAAGTGGTGAAGGAGGGGAAAGCAGAGGGAAGAAGGAAAACCGGAATCAGCAGTGAAGCATCTGTGGTGCAGCCCAGGGTAGTTTGAAAAAAGTAGTGCTGCTTGCACTAGCAAGTAAGATGATATGACTGGCCCTAAAGATGCTGTAGCTGTGCATCCATCAGTAAATATTTACCATAATGCTGCTTCTTGCCCTTCTCTATTGTGCAATAACATTTTTGAGTGCTCTGAAAAGGCTATGGCATAACTGTTTTTTACTTTTTTCAAAGAAAAAGGCAAAGGAGAGACAATGTGGCGGCAGCAATGTTGACATGAATTTTGTATTAATTCTCTTTTTTCCTTGAACAGTGCCCCGTTGAATTGTAGGTGGTCCATTTCTTCACTCTTTCCACTGATGATTTATTTCTGGGCTTTGAGAGTATTTATGATGTTTCTTTTATTGTTCTTTGTCCATTTGGCTGCTTTTTATGCTGCAGTTTGTATAATCCTCCATTTTTATTCTTTGACTGGAGTGTGAAATGTGCTAGTCATCTTAAAACATACAAAACCAGAATGGACTATAAAATATGGATGGCCACAGACTGGAAGAATAATGTGTCTGGAACTTCTTTAAGCAGTTTCAGGCTCCAACCCCAAACAACCCGCTGCCTCCCTTGGGTTTTTCTAAGGGTATTTCTACCTCTACTGAAATTAATGATGTTACTGTGCTCCTTTTAAATAATAATTTTATTCAAGGTGTTATGCAAACATTAGATAATTGATGTTTTGCCTCCAGAAAGGATAGGCACTTGTCTTTGTTGATGGCCAGTACCCAGCTTGACACTTGTTTCTTCCTGGTGTAAAGCAGATGTGGGACTGGTGGTGGGTGATGGCAGGGTGGGTGTGTGGGCTTTTAAAGAGCTGGGCAACTCTCATCTCCCCAGCTGCTGGGTAGTGACCAGGGGAAAGATGCAAGTCAGAAAATAGCTTGGGTTATCTCTGAGAAGAGAAGGGAAGGAAAATCAAGGAAAAATGCAAATTTAATCATAGGGAAGGCTATTGCAAATAGCAAAATATGGCCTGCCAAATGAATTAATTCAGCACAACAGGAGCACATGCCTGGCTTTAGCAGGACAGGGACAGTTCTGCTCCAGTACTGAGGTGACTGGAGCTGTAGGGGTGGTGTGTCCCACGTGTGCCCAGCCTGGTAGCACATATGAAGCGAGCCACCCACAGCTTTCCTAATCTACTCCTGTGTTTCCCTTTTCCTCCTTCTGCTGCCTGGCACATGTGGACCCCAGGAGGCTGTGAGCTCGACCTGGCCTGCTTTGTCCAGCTGATCAACGAGATGGGGGGGATGCAGCAAGTGACTGACCTCAAGAAATGGAACAAGCTGGCAGACATGCTGCGCATCCCCAAAACTGCACAGGACAGGCTGGCCAAGCTGCAAGAAGCCTACTGCCAGTACTTGCTCTCCTACGACTCCCTCTCCCCCGAGGAGCACAAGAAACTGGAGAAGGAGGTCTTGCTGGAAAAGGAAATCCTGGAGAAGAGGAAAGGACCTTTGGAGGGACATTCGGAGAATGCCTACAAGTTCCATTCCTTGCCCCGGTTTGAGCCCAAAAACGGACTCATCAATGGCGTGGTTCACAAAAATGGCTTCCGCAACAAGTTAAAAGAGGTCGACGTCCCACTGAAGACAGGCAGGCGGCGGCTCTTCGCTCAGGAAAAGGAGACCACGAAGGAGGACGAGGAGGATGAGGAGGGAGTTCTTAGCGACTTACACAAGTGTATATACAAGGTAATGGGGCAGGCTCTGCCTGTTTTGTTTTGCAGAACCGATGGCGCTGTCATCTGGGTGGCGTCTGGGTGCAAACCCGCTGGCTCAGAGGAGCTGATGGCTTGCAGTGCCACCCTGAAGGCAGAACTTAATCACAGTTATCACGCCCAGGTGGTCTGGTGGCTTTATCCTGATCTGCCTGGCTCTTCCAGGATGTCTGGGAAAGCTCAGAGGCATTATTGTCATAACAAGATGCACTGGGCTCTGCCCCTTTTCATCTCCTTGTGAGAGGTTCCCTGAATATCTCTGCCCAATTATCCTTGCAGACACACATTTTATTTTCATTTTCTAGTGACATTTAAAATAATGTTCTGCTTTCTCATTCCTGCTTCTTGCAAATCTCTTGTTGAGTGAAGTAGAGCTCCACATCAAAACTAACATCACTAGAAATACTGCTACATTTAGAAAGGGCAAATTGAAATGCAAACAATATTTTCATCCACGGTGCCAGATTTTGCTCAGCACTAACAGTCACGTGGACACTTAGTTCTCCACATATCAAGTACATCCATTTACAAAGGAATGCTGACTCTTTCACTGTATTTTGTTTGGCAGTCTTCTACTCTGGAGTAGGACTTGGCAACTCACAGTGCAATTTTGAGTTAAGTTGAATCGTGTAGCCGTGCTCTGAGAGAAATATAGCATTGAGTGTCTGTGCCCAGTAAAGGAATACGCTGTTCTTCCCCTTCCAATCTCACTTCCATCACCAGGAAATGAAGCCAGATAGCCCAAAATGACTTATTGTTAAGCTATTTAGGGACTGCATGAGCTCATGACTTGAGCTTTAAAAGCTTGCTTCGGGTTTCTTTTCCAGCCTGTTACGATTTGTCAGCACAAAAATTATTTTACTTGGGGACTCTGGCCTCAATCCCACCTTTGAAAAGGAGTCTCTTTGCCATGCTGCCCTTGGAGAGAAGCTTATCTAATGACAGCAGCTTTTGTGAATAGTGAAGTGGCATTTCTGTGCTTAATATCCTGTGCTTAATGACAGTTAAATGAAAAATGTGATACAACTTACCCTGACTGCTGTATGAACAACCTCAAACTTCACCTAGGGAAATGCCTCCTTCTTTGTTTCCAGTGCAAGTCCCATTTTAAAGTTTAGAAGATACAAAGTCACTCAAAAAGCAAGGTTGGGATTTGTGAGAAGTATCTTAATTGGACTTAAAAAATAAAAATAAGCAAGTGAGCAAAATGCAACTGGTATAAGCAGCCCAAGTCTGCTGAGCACCAGGCGTTTATCCCAAAAGACTGAGAGCTCCCAAAATTGCTGCTGCTGCCACCCAAAAAGCACGGGCAGTACTGGCAGCAGCAGACCCTGCCTAAGTCTGTCAATACCCAGCAGAAATACTTTTGTTCTCAGTATAGGAGCTGTTAAAGAAGAGCATCACTGTGCCCATGGGCCAGTGCTCTCCCTACCCACCCAAGCAGCTGCAGCTCGCTCAGAAAACACCTTGGGTTGTCCACTGTGGTACCAGCAGCTTCCCAGACACTGGGGCTTGCCTGTTTTTATTCTATCCCGCGTTCACCTGCAGTGCACAGGCTGGGGACTGTCTCAGGTGATGGACTGGGGAGAAAATGGGGAAGCAGGTGGGTTTCTGAAGAGATCCCTCTTATGGAGCACCCTGCGGGACACCTGGTCAGCCTGCGTGCAGAGAGAGGAATGTATTTTCATTTTCACAGCAGTCAGGGGAAAGCACTGTAGAAGGATTGGTTATGTCACTTAAAGCAAGCCTCAGGACGCAGAAGTTATGCAGCAGTCTTGATGTACCAGAGCAATGCACAAGGCATAAAATTACTATAGTTCACTCCTAGGCTTTTTAATAAGACTGAGGGAAGGTGGTGCTGGCACCAGATGTAAGCAGAGGGTATTTCATGGCACTTAATGAAACAAGCCTTTTAATCCTGTGTCTGTGAGGGGGAGAGTGTTCTTTACCTATTAACGTTTCTGAGAAAATTTGAAATTTGATTAACAGACCATGCCCTCATGTTACAGTTTCCAGAGATGATGGGATTGTAATGGTTCCTTTCTAAAGCACATGGCTAATTCTATTTAAAAGTGAAAACCACACACAAAACCAAAAGAAAAAATCCCATGCCTTTGATAAATACCCAGGCCAATAGTTTGAGGACTGGAGGAGAACACTGTAATCATATGGCTGTAGTCCAGTTTAGGCCATAAAGTCTGTGCTTCAGACTATGAAGAGGTTTCACACAGTGGTTTCTGCAGTCAGCACGTGCTTGAGCTGTTTTTAGAAAGAGACATCCAGTCTTCCAGGAGCAGTTACCACCATATCACATGTCAAGGTTAGAATAAATCTCTGTGTTTGGCTGACTTTCTGCCAGGGCTCCCAGATTATTTTCAGTGTCTCTCCTTTCTGGGCTGTAAGACCTGCTGTGCTTTTAAGTGTGTGCTGCAGGCTGCTGTACTTGCTTGCTTTACTCCTAAATATATGGCTTTTCTACCTGACTAATAAAATGCCATCATTTCGAAGTGTGTGAAGTAAGCGAACATCAAAGAAGGATATGATGCAAGATTTTCTCTCTTCTCTTCTTTCCCCAGTTTTAACTCTGAAAATATTTTAAAAATCTGTGCTGGAGCTGACTGAAAGCAGCATTTGTTTCTGTACAGAGCAAACTGAAGGCTTATTAGTAGACCCATTAGAGGGACACACAGAAGAAATCAGCAGTGCAAGTTTTGCCAGCCCTCTTATGCAACTGTCCTGGAAATCCTGTGCTGAGCTCTCTTCAGCAGGGACTCAGCATTTTCAGACTCCACTTAATAGAAATCCCTCCTTTCCACCCGTGACTGTTGTGAAATCTTTGGTTTTTGCTCATATTTGTGCTTGTTTTAATGTCTTTAACATTCATAGTGTTGCAGTGTCCTTCTCTGTGCCTCCAGGCAGGGTGATGGTGATGCTCTCCCTGGGTTGGTTCTCAGGGCCTCTGCAACAGACATGAGAAGAATCAGGAGGGGAATAGGAGTTTCTTCCTCTTATTGTCTTATTGTCACAGCAACAGAGACTCTGCTCTGTAGCTTGAAGCTTCCAGGACAGTTGTTGAACTGCTGAGCTATCTTTCAGGGTGTTGGAAAGGGTATTTTACTCTTCAGCAATTCATTTCCTGTTCTGATTAAAGTGCTCCATTACAGCATTTTAAACTATTTTCTGAGTTGGCATTAGAAAATTTTACGAGATCCCTCACATTAAAAGCAAACAAACAGACAACAAAACCCCTTCAACCATTTAATTTATGTTACAGTTTTTAGGAGACTAAAAATATAACAAATTCTTGATAGGGAAGAAATGGATATGTGCAATTTTAAACATTTAAAGTGTTTGAGTTTTCCACTTTTGCTTTTCTTGCTTGCTGTATATCTAAAAAATGAATATGATTAGTCTTGGAAGATGAGTTTTTTTTGGTTTTCTGTGTAAGATGAGAGAAAGGCAAGTTAATGAAATGAGGAAGCTTCTGCAGAGCATGTATAGGTTTGCAGGTGGTGAAGTCTGTGTCCAAGTGTGATGACTTGGTGCGGGCCCTGCATTTTACAAGCAGTTTTGTTGTAAAAGGCTGCCTCAATAAACGATTCATGAGGGCATTAAAAGAAGAAGGAAATTGCTTATTGGATCACAGAGAATCCAGCTCTGAAGTTTATGGGAATCAGAGTGCCCCAGGCCCTGGGCATTTCACAGACTTTTTTGTTAAAGCTAATTATGCTGCATTCAATTAAAAAAATGACAATGTTACAACCATATGAGTATGGCAGAGTGATAGACTTGGCCTCTGGGGGAAAAGCTGCTTGTATAGTTCTTTCTAGTTTACTCTTGGACATAGTTATTAAATAAATGAAAACACAAGAAAAGAATGAGGTGGTTTGGCAGATCTGTTTCATAATTGAAAAACTAGAAAGGTAATAGTCCGAGTAATAAAGTGTTCATTTATGCAGAGTTTTTAAGTCTGTGGTTGCTCGTGCTCAGATGGCCAGGCAGTGGGTATGATGGGAGTTAGAGGAAGGAGCAGTAGATCTGGCAAGGGAGCAAAGATATCTTCTACTCCACATTTGCAGAGCGATGCTGGTCTCTACCTGCAGCAATGCTCTCAAACCAGGACGGCCACAGCACCTGCTGTGGTGCTTGCTGGCTCTCAGGGCTTCCCAGGGTGTTTCTTCTGCCCTGGGGCAGAGAAGACAATAGAAGTGTTACTGTCTGGGCACACCAGTACGGCTGGGCTGGAAGAAGCAGGATGCTCCTGCCTTCAGAGCTGTCAGACAATGCTTCCCAGAGCATCTGGTGGTGTAGGTATGCATGAAAGCAAGTGCCTGGAAACTCTGGTATAGCTCAAGCAGAAAACTGAATCGGATCCTCTTCTCATAGAGCAGCAGTGCCAACAAAGAGTGCACTCATTCAGCAGTTTTACTGTGTTTTGCCAGCCTTGTAATAACAGGTCCTGGTTGCTTGCATTGGAACTGCTTTTACTGAATTGAGCATAACTAGTTTTTGTGAGCAGTTGGTTACAATAATCTCGGTAAACTCTACTTTTTGTGACCTAGATACAATACTAGTTTATGCTGAACGTTTCTATGAATTTTTTAAGTCCTTTTCAACTGTTTCTCTATATAAAGAGTGTAACCACATGGTCCTTGGATCACGTATTGGATTTGATTGTAAAGTGCAGGTTAGCTGCCTACTAGGTCCTTTGCAACCTGTCATAGGAAGTTGGGCTGTGTCTATCTTCTGTATTATTCAATACTGAGCATTGTGCTGGACAAAGCACTGTTCCTTCTGGGAACATTCAGTTGGCCTTTTGGGTGATTGGTTTGGTGAGCTATGATTAAATTTCTCTATCTTCTGAAGTATTTTCCCTCAGATACAAAATGAGCTTCAGACCTACACCTCTTCTGGAGACATTGTCCTTTTTCCCTTCGTTGTCATTTGGGATTGAGCCTGTAAGGAAAAGAGTGAGAACAGAGGGAATGGAGGCTTTTTTTTTTATTATTTTCACTTTTAATTTTATTTTATTTTTCCACAGGGTAGGTCTGTTTCTTTAACAACCTTCTACCGAACAGCAAGAAACATCATGAACATGTGCTTCACGAAGGAGCCTACAGTAGCTGAAGTAGAGGTGAGGCCAACTCAAGGGGTGGTAAAAGTTTTTATTTCAGTGTATGGATGTGGGGACTCAGTACAGCTGACCATCAAGCATTACCATAATCAGTGTGAGGCTGTCTAGTTTGGGAGAAAAAGTAGTAGTTAGATAGACATGGTGCTGATTCTTCCTTTTTAATTTTTTGAACATTTTTAATAAAGGTGTTGATGAGCTGAGGAAGAGAAAGAATTCTTAATCTGACATGTGCTGAAGCACAGGAGCCAAGAGGATATAAATTCTGTCTTCCCAATTCATTGTTACTTTTAATAATTTATATTCTTATTTTTAAGCAGTGCTTTATGTTGAATTACACTGAGGCCACGAAAGCCCTGTAAATTTCTGGGGTTTATATTTTAATGAGAGATACCTTGTTCAGCGAATTAAAAATGCATTACTGCTTTCTCTTACCACAGCAAGAATACTGGCGGATAGTGGAACAGAAAGATTGCCATGTAGCAGTGCATTGTGGAAAAGTAGATACCAACACCCATGGGAGTGGTTTTCCCGTGGGAAAGTCTGAACCATTTTCAAGGTAAGATCACCAAATCCATCTGTTTTGTCGACTTTATTCTGGTTGCCCCGTTGTGCTGAGCGGAGGTAGGGGCACGAGACCAGCAGGGCAGCTTGGCACTGGGGGTGTTGGCACTGGGAATGTGCACTGACACGTCTGCCTCTGTATCATCCCTCAAACAGGCATGGGTGGAACCTCACAGTCCTTCCTAATAATACAGGATCCATCCTGCGACATCTTGGTGCTGTGCCTGGTAAGTGAGTTTCTTTCCTGTGTTTTCAGCTGGTGGAACTGTCCTCCCAATGTGGTGGTGCAGTCACCAAAGGCTTCTCCCTCCTTCTGGCCCCTCTGTTCCCCAGCTGACTGAGTAGAGATCTGGTTGTATGTAGCAGGTGGTATGTAAAGGAATGAAGGCAGGCGTGCAGATAAAGAACTGATGAATAGTTGAGACCGTATTCCTGAGAGGAACCTGTTGTACTTGCAGTATCCCTTGTTGCCAGTGGATCAGCGTTCTTCTTCTGTGTCAGGGTGATGAAGGACAGAGCCGTGCACCTTCCTGGCTCGCAGAATGTAGTCTGTAGCACTGGGCAAAGCAGCACACACATTTTCTAAATGAATTGTCATGAGTGCTCCAGCTGCATATACACCATTGTAATTTACTGGTAGACACATTAGCTGAAAGCATAATAGAATCTCTTGTGCAGGTGTTGAGCCTGAATAAACCACTTGGGAAACAGGACACCTGTTTAAAAGTTAGATGGATGCTTGACAACATGAAGCAACCTCCTCTGATCAATGGCATTGAGCTTGTAAATTCCCCAAAGGATAAAGGTTTTATACAGCTGTTAGAAAACAAGTATGTTGAAGGGCACTGTAATTGGTCAGTAGGTATTTTCTTAGTGGAAAATGCTGAGTTCGTTTAATTATTCTCTGTGAATTATTCACTCTGATAGGAACACTTAAAACTTCAATGGTCACCTCACAGGTAGAATAAGATTTTCAACTTAAATGCCCCCTCAAACTGTCTTTTAATTACAAACTGTGGTTACTCAAAACTCATTTTTCAATCTCTCTGTTTTAGGAGTGACAATTCCTTGGCTAAATATTGGCATGGTCTTTTCTACCTCATGCTGGTCTCGAGACCAAAATCACCTTCCATACATTGACTACTTACACACTGGTGCTGATTGCATTTGGTAGGTATTCCTGTGTTTTGTTTTCTTCATATTGACTGCAGTCCCTCTGTGTAGGCTGGTATTAACAGCAGTTTGTGTTGTATCTTTTGCATGAGTGAATCTTACCTAGAAGGTCCAGTTTTAATGGGAAAATGTGATATAAACTTAAACATTCCTTAAACATCCCTAAACCTAAACTTAAACATCCCTTCCTGAATTCAGTGCATATTTAGTACTGCAGACGATGATGATTTAGTTTGCAGTGAAAGGTGATGGAGGCATGATGGAGAAAGCAGGTACTGCTTTCATGTCGTGTGCCTTTCAGCCAGGCTCCTGTCGTATTGGTGTTATTATCTAAAAGCATCATCAGTGAAAACAATGAATGATGAGTTATGTGACTGTGTTTTTTAATTAGAGAAAATGCAATAAACAGAGAAGAGGAGTTATTTCAGTGGTGCCTCCCGGCACAGGTGAAAAGCTGGTTCCGTTTCAGCAGTTCCAGTGGTTCCCCTTTGGAACTTGGAACTCTGAGGAGCCTTTGACTCCTCATGTGGTGTGACAGAAGGAAGTCTGCAGGGTCTCCTTTGCATCTAGAAGTCCCCACGGTGGCGGTGGCGTCACTGTCAATTGCTCTTTATTCACCTGCAAAGTGTGAGCTCCCTCGTTTCTCAGATACTGCTGATGTGCTGATCCAGCTGTCACAGGAATCTCCTCTCTCTAAATATTTTAATTTGAATAAATGTTCTGTATGAGATCATATCAAAGGGTAAAGGTTAAATGCCTCATTATGCCGCAGACCTGGGAGTTTGTCGCTTTCTGTCATAGGCATTTCATGGCTCTTCTCCCTCCTCTGAATCGGGAATCTGTAATCTTTTATAATAATACACTATCAGGACAAATTGCTGAGCAAGCTATGTTGTTCTGAACCTTAGGTGAGTTTGTTTCTCTCTATGACATTAATCTAGTCTTAAATGACAGTAAATTCTAAACAAAAGGCATTCAGGAATCTTCTGACTGAGTTCTGAGGCCACTCTTCATACTGTGTGGGTCAAAACATGTGCCTTTTGGGATTGAATAGACTTGAATGCAGACAGTCCAAATTTTAGGAAAGGCTACTTTTTGTGGTTTTCCATGCCAGGAAGAATAGAAGAAGCTATTTGCTTTCTCTTGATGGACTTATTCATACGCAAGTACATACCTTAAGGTGTGTTTTTGATAATTGCCTTGATGAAACAGGGATAGTAAGCACGAATAACTCACAAGAAGGAAGAGAAACCCCTTCATCTGTAAAGGCTATACTTCAGCAGGGCTGCCAGATTGAAGTGTCGGGCTAATATTCATTAGCTCATTACAGCTTTTAACAGTGCAATAAAGTACCCAGCTTTATTGAGGAAAAGATTAATTTAATAACTCTAGGTCTGGCATAATATTTGGAGTAGCCCTGACAGCATTGCTTTCAGTGGCTGCTTCAGGGATAACAAAGCAGGCCACTGGGCACTAAAGCTCTCCTCTGTCTTGCAAAGTCCACCCACAGTCCAGAAATTGTGCCTTCTAAGGACAGACCCTGTGGTACTAAAACCAGTAGTGCTTCATTTGCCTTCAGATTGCTCAGCTCACTCTAATCTCTCAGGTTTTACCTCCTGATGAGAAAAGAGGGGAGAACTCAATTTGCATGCAGGGCAGAGGTCAGTGACCTATCCTTTTTATTCTGGAGGGATCCCCAGTGCCCATTAAAAGAGAGAAGAAAATCTTGTTCTGCCCAAGACATTTCAGAAGTCTGTACTGGCTGCTCACTTCCCAATTTATAGATACATCAAGAATTGTAAATAGACCGGTTGCAAAGGATCTTCATTCCACTCAGTCCTGCCCCAGTACTCAGATAGTCCCATGCACTTGTGTACTGCCCCTCCTCTTCACACATCCTTCCCATGCTTTTTTCTTGCCCCATCTTAGGAGGGACTACATGTTTGAATCTTTTATTGGTTCCAGCCATGTTTTCTTACTCTAAAAGAAACGAGTGGGTTCTGCCACATTCTGGGTTCAAATTTAAAATATCTTCATCATTGTTTCAAATCTGTTATTATAGTGTAACTGGAGTAATACACTTCGTGTGGAGCTGTTCTAAAGCTGTCAGTGTTAGCAACAAAGGTACTGCATAGTATTTGATACATGGCATGCATTTAAAATTGCTGTTGGGACTTCATCTTTATTGAGATGCTCTTCCACTTCACTTCTCTCTAAACCTAGCATTTCTTTGCAAGGTCCTGATCATTTTCTATGTATATGTACGGAGTCAGTCTGTGTACACCTGGGCAACCAGCTCATTAGAGCTCTTACTGTGGCTAAAATTAGCTGTAGGAGTAGATAGTTTGGAAAAATGGCTCCATGTATGTGTCTGGTATGGAGGAAATGGAATCCAGGTTGAGGTTTCATTGCTTAAAGTGAACTGGTAAGTCACGATAAAGCTGGAAGATGCCTTTTACTTGCCTGGGCATCACAAACCCAAATAAAATAATGTCAGAGAGATAAAGCATAGCATGGCAGCAACTCAAGGCAGGTTTGGGAATCCCAGGATTTGCACTGTTTCCCCCCAAGCTGTGCTGCTCAGCTCACAGTCATCAAGTACCAACTACCAGATCTTGGGAACAGGTATCTTCAGGGTGGACATAAACTATTACCACTCTGATAGGGTGCAGGCAAGAGCAGTGACTAATTGTCACCATATCGCCTCCCTGCAGCCAGAAAAATAGCAGTTCTCTGGATGTGATGAAGCCAAGACCCACGACTCCTGTGTTATTTCTTGTCACTTCTGCTCAGGGAGCACTGCTGGCAGCGAGCACAGAGAGGACAGCTGCTTCCTTGGCTTCTGAAGGAGAGGAGGATGTGCAACTTGGCATATACCCAGCAGAGTTTTAAATCTCTCTTGCTGCTTTGGCTGCTCTTAGTCAGGTCTTTTGTTGCAAGGGAGAGAGAGGAGGGATGTGAGATTTCTTTAGAAGGTTTCAGGCAACTTCACGTCCCAAGAGTAGAGAGGTTTTGTGGTTTCTTGACTGTTACAAAAAGAAAACATTATTAAATGTGAAGATCTTTTGGTTGATGCACAGGTAATAAATACAGCCATTTATTGTAAAGGTAGCAGAACATGTATTGGTGCTCATGAGATGCAAAATTCTGCCTGTAATTACCTGTTTTGCTGCTGTCAAGATGAATGTCAGTTTCTTGTTGGTTTCTTTCCTCTGATTCTACAGAGCACTGAGTTTTCACATTTCTGTTTTGGGGATTTTGTGTCCTTTGATACCTAGTGAACACCATCAGACTGAATCTAAACAAACAGCTTTCCTTCGATCCTCAGTGTTTTACCAAAAAGAACTGTGTGGGAAAGCCTCTGTTTAATTTCTTTTTTTCACTCAATGTCCTGGTCTGAATTGCCTGTTACTGTGTAGCTGCGGACCATTATTTACTCCACAGTAAATCTTTGTCTTTTCCTCTGACAAAACAACAGGTATTGCATTCCTGCTGCGGAGGAGAACAAACTTGATGATGTGGTACATACCCTGCTGCAAGCCAATGGCACTCCAGGGCTGGAAATGCTTGAAAGTAATGTAATGGTAAGTTAACACTGGGAGAGGTGTTCCCATTTAAGAACCCAAGGCTAATCATGAAGCTGATTGGTTGGGGATTTATTTTGGTTTATTATTACACTACAGTGATGCAGAGAGTGTTGTTAAAACTTAGCTACTTCCTATTTGCCATGTTTACCAACATGGCATTTTTCTAACAAGGCTCACATAAAAATAAATGGGACAGTGCAATAAATGTAAATTTTTAATACTGTCCGTAATGTATTTAATCTCACAAAGGGATATGTTTTTAATCAATCAGTCTTCTGTGATTGACATTTTATAATGCAAGCGTGGATAGGAGAAGCCTAGTACTTCATGTATTTTTGGCTCCTTTCTTTATTTTGTGGATAACAATTTCCATTTAATGCATTTGAGTATAAATTTGGGAGCCCATAAGAAAAAAAAACAAAAACCCTCCCTCAGCTATCCATGTTTACATCTGACAGAACTGTAGTACCAAGGCGGATTCAGTGCCGAGTTGGAAAAAGCCTGGATGGAAAACTGAATGGCCTGCATTACTTTCTGTAGTAGTAGACAGTGTTCTTTTGAGGCTTTGTGTTTGAGATCGTTTGGCAAGTTTGAGTTTAAACTGTTGGTTCCAGAAGAGCCACTTCTGTAATCCTCACTCCTCACCTGAGCTTTGGCACGTGCAGAAGGGAAGGGAGAAAGAGAACAGAGCAGTTTGCTCCACAAGCAGTAGCATGTGGCAGTACCCAGAAAGGAAGGGGATCTAACTATAACTTGAAGTTCTGATTGATTTTGTTTTTGTTTTCATGTCTTTCTAGATCTCCCCGGAAATCTTGTGTAAGGAGGGGATCAGGGTGCACCGTACTGTACAGCAGAGCGGGCAGTTTGTTGTCTGTTTTCCTGGATCCTTTGTGTCCAAAGTGTGTTGTGGCTATAGTGTTTCCGAATCGGTGCACTTTGCTACCACCCAGTGGACAAGTATGGGCTTTAAAACAGCCAAGGTAAGTTGAGCAAAGGAGTTAAAATGGATTCACGGCCCTGCCATCTAAAAGGACAGCAAAGCAGACATTCCGGGATCATAGCGTTGTGAGACTAGTACAACTACGTCTATTTTTCTGGACTATTAAATAAATAAAAAAAAAAAAGAAAAAATTCTGCAAGGCATAAGACGATCCAGTGTTTTCAAAAAAGTGAGTTGTTAACTGACAGCTAAAGACTTCTGTATATATGAAAAATTCAGGAGATTGTTACGCCTGCAGACCAGTTTGCAAGGAAGCTTTTCAAAAGTCCCTTCAGAGCTAATGATGATACATTGTAATATGCTTACTAATTTTTTTTTTACGTGATGTTTTCTAGAACCATTAGAATCTCAGGTGCGAATATCTCAATAACTGTGCTTGTTAGCTCCTATGATAGGCAGAGTCAGTTAATACTCACAGCTTTATTGCTTGTTTTTCTCTGCCCCTTCATTCAGGAAAAGCTGTTGATCAGGGCAATTTCAATTTTAATCGACTTGAAAATCCTTAGGTTCACTGACCAGTCCATCCAATACTAGATGTAAATAAATAACCTTCCCATTCCCTTTTCGCATAACTAACTGAGGCAAGATGCCTGCAGAAACAGGGGAATTGTCCAGTCATCCTGATTCTGACAACATTTCTGTGTTCTTGGACAAAGAATATGTGTCACTAATGGGGTTCCCAACCTACTCAAATACACTCTGGGTTTCAGGTACTATTTTGGTAGTGTTTTATAGCTAAGCCATTAGTAAATGATCATTTACAGCTGCAGACCAAGTGGTTACTAAGTAATTAAAAGTAATATGTCCACAGTTAGGTTTGGTTCTTTAGGGTTAATGGAATTCTTCCAGCCTGGTTATACTAATTGTATATTAACTTAGTTTGAAATAAAAGGTTATTTTATTACATATTTATTTTGGGGGAAGGTGTGGGAATTGTGTATATATATAAAGTAAGGCATAAGAATCCTGAGCTAACCTTTTCTGTCTGAACACACACAATTATATTAACTCCATATGCTGTATTTATTGCTCTATTGAACACTTGTTTGATATCATGGAAATGCTACTCCTGTAAGAGACAGAAATCACTATGCAGCAATTAAAAAGCTCTTGGTGCCTCAAATTTTGAAGAACAGTTTCTTTTGATTAATTTTTAAGAGCTTTGGGTAAATGTAAGCTGACTGAAAATCCAACTGATTCCAGTCTGTGATAACCTACCTTGGAAATTGAAGTCACAGCTCTCACAAACTTCACAAGAACCACAGCTAACATGTGTATATCAAAATAACTCTGAAAACACCTACTGCATTTTTCTTTTCCTTCTCTTCATCCCCCCACCCCCCTTCTCCTTCTCTCCTCAAACTGTTTTATGTTCTTAACTCCCTTAAATTTTGGAAATTATTCTATGGTTCCTTCACTTTGACAAGGCACTTCAAAGGCTGGCCGGGATTGTGCTTTTCAGAGGTGGTGAGATGTTCTGTGTGACGAGCGAGATTCCCCTTTTGGACTGTTAAATGAACTCTCTGATAAACAACTGTACCTTCCCCCTTGTCTGTTCTCCACAGCAATACTGAGAGTTTTTAGCCCTTTGATACATTAACTTTGTTTTCATTCTGTGATACTGTGACCTGATTTTTTTTTATAGTGGCTCTCTTTATATTACTAAATGATGTTGTTTCATTTCTGTATTGAATGACTGCTCAATCTCCTTTAATACACAGAAAAATGAAATTCTGCATCTGAAATTGCATTGATTTCAGTTTATAAGAAGTTAGGGATAATGGTTGGAATAAAAGAATTTGTATTAAGCCTGTGTAAAGGGACGGTCAGGTTTCCCCTAGTCCACACATGGAATCAGACTGGGGGCTTCTAAAAAACACCCTAAGAGCTCTTGAAATTTTAAACTAAGGATGAGAAGAAGTTTAGAGTTGTGGTGGAAGAACGTGTGGTTGGAGTGGCAAAGGGTTAACTCCATATCCTCCAATAAGGCATTGGGCAAAGTCAGTAAAACTCATTTAGGAAATGGAAATTTAGGATTACAGAATATTGGATGAAATGAATGCGCTCTGGGCTAGAGCTTTGGAAATGAGAAGGAATGTCTGGTTTTAGAGGAGGGCCTTTGGTGGTATAGGGCCTACCAGAAATTTGGTGGAAAGAGACTCAGCTTGTACTGTAATGCAAGAGGAAGAAGTACATAGGAAAGATGGAGTTGGTCTTCTGGTTGGAGCAGCATTGCTGCACGCAGAAAAGAGCTTACAGTCCAATAAGCCAGGTTTAACTCTATCACCAGTGACAGAATCCCTGTGTTCTGATCTTCTTGTCCTAAATAGGAAAAGCATGGTATTACCATTGTATTCCTGACTGTCTAGCAAAGATGCTGGCAGGGGCTGTACACACATTTCCCTCCACCCCTGTTTTTAGTTTGGTGAGGAATGTGCCTTTAAAATGCCACACAATTACCACTCCTTGGTTCCTGTCACAGAGCTGTCCTACCCTGAGCACAGTGGGTTGCTTTCAGATGAAACCAAAGGGGAGGAGGCCCTCCAGAAGTGCACCTGATGTCCCCACTAGCGAAGAGCTGCGCTGTGATGGAGAGCAGAGATCAAGAACCTTGGAACACAGTAAAATGCAAAATATCCACTACTGTGGTGTTTCATTTCAAAAGGTGGCCGTGCATAAAACCAGGGAAGCTTTTAAAATTCCGAATGCAGAAAGAAGGGTTAAGTGTTTGCATGCAACATAGAAATTGCTTAAAGATGTTGTGTTAGAGGCTCACAACACATGCACATTGCCTAGCAAAAAAAGAGAACAATTTTGGAAGGCAAACCTCTACTAAATATAGTGTGGCTAAACACCAGAAGAAAGGAATCTGTTTGAAATGAGACCAAAAAACCCCTTCGGTGTCCAGAAGATGAAAATGCAAGTAAAACAACCTCTGTAGCAAGACGTGTAAATACACAAAAATGGAGACCACAAAGGGATTTCAAAGAACAACTTCCTCAAGGCCAAAAGATAAAAAAAAAATGTATAAAAGAATGAGAACAGGGCTTTTGCAGCAAGGTCATGGTCTCCAGGCCTTGAAACTTTTGGAAGTATGTATGGACAAGAGTAGCAGTTGACAGAGTCTGTGAACATTTCTGGAAGACTTCTGGCAGGGTTCCTCAGAAAAGGCTTTTAATTAATTTAATCTGCCATGGACTGGGAGGTGAACTTCACACACCAGAAAAATAACCGATTTAAAGAGAAGCAGAGGATGGGAACAAATGGTCAGTTTTTGTCATGGAGGGGAGGAGGTCTCTTTCTACATTCCTCAGGAATTTGTGCTAAGACCAGTACAGTTTAATGTATCCATAAATAACCTAGAAAGGGAATAGCAAAACTAATCATTTACACTGAGGATATTAACGGTGACAACAGCAAAAATTAAACCTATGAGGTATTACAGAAATATTACATGACTCTGAGTGATCCAAGTGAGAAAATGGTAGATAAAATTCAGTGTTGATAAATGCTAAATTTAAATTTAAATAAATGATCCTAATTTGACAGGCACAGCAATAGGTTCTGATGAGCTCTTGCTACTGAGAAAAGAGTTCTTTGTATTCCTATGGCACTGTCAGCCAAGTGCTCTGGAGAGGCTTAACAAAAATATATTGAATGTTAAGAATTACAATAGATGCCATACAGACAGAATACACAATAAGAAAGCAAAGCAGAAACACCACTGTGTGGCACTATGGAGGGTCCTGGTGGCTTGTGCAGTTCTGAGTCCCTCACTGCAAAAGGATTGTAGAGGAACTAGAAAAGGCACAGCAGAGATGGAAGGTTAAAGTTATGAATTAACCTCTGTATTAAATATAAGAGAACTACTCAGCCTGGAAAATGAATGACCGAGAGATGTATATGATAGCAATTCCAAATCACAAGTGATGAGAATTATGAATGTTGGCTAACTTCTGTGACTTTGAAAAATGTGTCATTAAAAGAAACAGGCAGCAGTACAAAAGCAGACAGAAGTCTGTTTTAAAATACTTACCTGCGTATTTCAGTACAGTATAGGAGAGGAAAATGCACATAGATTCAGAAATTCAGATAAATGCAGAGATCAAGCAAGTTGTGCTAAGCCCAGCACAGACTCGGGATTTCCCTGAGCTGTCACCCAGCAGGAGCAGACCTTGCTTTTTCTCTCCAGCCACTCACTGTGGGCTTTTTGTCCTGGCTGTGTGTGTTGCCCATGTGGGCTTTTGGCACGGCTTAGACTGTTCTTACGCAGCCTCAGACAATATGAGAAGCAAATCTGATATGGAAAAGCCTTTCCATAACACTCCTAACAGTGCAGCTCTGTCAATCCCACGCAGGGGCTAGTAGAGCAAATAGCTTCTTACCTGTGAACATCTTTTGAACTCTTTTTACTCAGCAGATTTCATTTTATGTGATAGATATATTAGTTAACACATGCAATTGGTGCATATAATTGGTTCTGATAAAAGAAGTAACCAGAGCATGTAATTAGGGTTACAAAAGAGGGTGAAAAAAATTAAGATTAAAAATTAATCCTTGGATTTGTGTGTGCTGAGTAGATAGTTGGCAGGCTTAACCACCAACCAAAAATGTCTCCTTTACGTTACACTCCAGTGTTACCATCGTTTGAATGCTCTGACTCTACATAAACAAAAACATAAACCTCTTCATATACTGAGAAAATGCTGCACTTTTCCCAACTGCATAGTAAATAAGGAATTTGCCTACAAAAGAATTATTGAAAGAGTTTCAGCTACCAAAATCACTCAGTTTGTATTGACTGGAAAGATGTAACTTTAAAGCTTTCACAGAGAGGAACCAACAAAAGTCAGAACTGACCCCTCCCGCCCTGCCCTTTGCCTCTTGTCTCCTTCCCTGGCATCTGCCTGTTTTGCTAGTTGTTGTCCTTTTTTATGTTTTAAAAGATGCGAAATAACAGCAGTCCTGGCCTTCCAGCAGGTCATATGTGTAGATGTTACGCTATTTGCAGGCTGAGCCATCCAGTATTACTCAGCTTAGATGGTTGCATTCCTCCTCTTGGCCTCCACAGGAAAAATTAATGGTTAGGGAGAGAATTTTGAGGTGTTTGTTGGTTCCTCCACTTCAGTGAACTGCATGTGAGTCTACACCTGGGCATCCTTCTTTCTATTTTTCTCCTTTTTGTGACATCTTTACTATTCTTTTCCACTAATGAAGTTTAAATTTCTTCTTTGAAAATAGGGTACATGTGGTGACACCAGTGCACTTGCATTTCGCTTCATTCTCTTTATATATGCAGAATTTGACTATCTTTACTCTGCATTAAATTTTACAGTAAAGCATATTAAGAAAAACAGCATACTGATTGATTTCTTAGCATATCATGCATTTTTTTGCTCTCTACTGGTGACTGAAAACAGTGTTAGATAAGAGGCACTATGGTGTTCTCTGAGGAAGCAGTTGATTATGACTGGTAGCATGTATTTTGTTTAGGGTTTTGACGTATTTTTTTGTGTGGCACTGGTTCACATAAAGAATGTGCAGAAAATCTTGCAACAGGAAGACCCAATTCAGCAAGGCATTTCCACTGAAAGGACTGATTTCTAACTAGCATTCATTTCAGTGAGTAGTTAGTGCTGGATGTAAGCTGGAACATAAATACTTTACCTGGGACTATGGAAAAATTTTACTTTTGGCTGTTTCAAAAGGCTACTTTTTGCTTAAATTAATGTCTTTTAAATATTAGTAATATGTATGAATTTATTAATTTTGAATTAAATTCTTGATAAGATAGTTTACTGTCAGATTTGCTCAGGAACTCATCTGTCAATTTCTTTCATTTCCTGCGCCAGGAAATGAAGAGACGACGTATAGCCAAACCATTTTCAATGGAAAAGTTGCTTTATCAGATTGCAACGGCAGAAGCAAAAAAAGAAAACGGACCGACTCTGAGTACAATATCATCACTTCTTGGAGAGCTCAGGTAACAAATTGGGGGCCTGTTGTACCTATTTGTTTTCATTGACAGACTCCAGAGGTGGATGACGTAAGTAACCCTTTCAGACATGTCTTGCCCCTGCTTGACCAAGCAAAAGCCCAACAAACGTTATCTGAAGACAGCCACACATGGAAGAAGCAGTTTCCTTGGCTGTAGCTGATGTGAGAGTGCCCATGGTTAGGATGTCTTTAAGAATTCCCTATTTCAGGCACCATCAAAGAATTAAAGCTACAGTTTACATTAGGTTTTTATTTTGCTAATTCTTGATGCTGAGAGTCAAGATATCCTGATGCATTATGTGAACCACATGGAGCCAAGTGGTCAAACGTCTTCCTTGAGTTTTTCAACCTGTTGGCATCAGTAGCCACTGTCAATCCGTGTCTGTAGTGGGTTTTGCACCAGGAACCCTTGTCTTCAGCATCAAGATTGTTCTATTACAGTTGTAGAAGGTACTCTGTAGACTGAAAGTTGTCTTGATTTAAAAGTGAATAAGTGAGCAGGTTATGCATGCATGCTAATGCATCTTGCATTAGAACTTGAATGTTTTAAATAAAAAATTCACACTCCTTTTTCTCTCCAGTATTAAGGAAACATGTTTAGGGTTTCTCTTAAGATAGGTGAGAAAAGAAAATATAATGTTGCCTGGCTTCCTGTGTAATGATCTTCTCTTTTGTTCCCTACCATGTAGTTGCTACCTATCTTTCAAGTTTGTGACAACTGATACTCGAGATGTCAAGAAAGTTTTGATGAATGGAGTCTACAAACTGTATTTAACTAAATAGCATGTTCATTTGGAAAATTTCCAGTGACATATTGAAGGGGAAAACAGCACATGTGTTGTTTTAGTGTTCAGAAAGAAATGCAAAGAGGTGTGCTGACTGCTTTACCTTCAGCTGGAGGGAATAATCATGCTCAAGTGCCTTTTTTTTTCCCTTGAAGAGAAAAAGTCTGCAAGTGCAAAAGGCGAAACAGAAATGTTGGTGCTTGCTCCTAGACCATCACATCGACCTCTATCAGAGTGGTTCTCAAACTTGTTCTAATGGATAGGTTGGAATTCACTGGAGGATATCAGTCCTTCCTGTGGCTCCTTATATGAAACAAAATCCCAAACAAAATCTGTAAAAAAACAACCCTATACTAAGTGGAACACTGTACCATATTTTTTTCCTTTGCTTTGTTTTGCTTGTTTGTTACGTGTCTTTTGCTGCCTCCTCTCCTGATCTGCGTTGGTTGCTCAGTTTGCCCGTGCCATTTGCTTAGCTTGGCTCTCCACCCATCTTCAGCTGTGTCTGGTGGTGCGCTTTTTTATTCTCCCCTTCCATCTGCTCAGCTCGCTCCACACTTGCTGTCTTCCAGTCAGCTCCAACCCAACCTGCTCTCCTACTGCTTTAGAGTTCAGCATAGGAGATACTGTCCGCCTTACAGACACTGTGGGTGAAGGGCGGCTGGAGGGCTTGGTTGTTATTCTTGATTGACATCTCCTTCTTTTTCCCCTGGGTGTACAGCAAGATCTTCGTCTTTTGGCACAATCACTTGCCCTGCTCCCCCTTTCCCGCCTGAAGCACCTCATGGCAGCAGGTCCTTGGTTCATCTCTGCCTCCTGATGAACGTGGCTGTTACTCCTGACAGCAACGGCTCCTCTTCCTTCAAGGTGGCTTTTGGCAACTTCAGGAATGACAGTCATGTTAGCCACAGCTCCCGACTCTCCACATGGCCCTGAGCAACCATCAACCTCCGGGAAGTACTCGGCAGTCCCCAGTTCTCTGTGGAGCAGTTTGAGAACCATTGGCTTGATACGGTGGTCGCTGTTAAAATCCGGAGATGATGATAGCTCTTGCAGTCAGGCAGCGCTTCCGTGGTGCTGGCTGTGTCTCGCCTTGCTTAGGGAATGGCACCAACCTCTGACAGCACTCAGGGCTTTGCTGTGCGGAGCTGAGGTTTCAGTGATGATGGTGGTAAAAGGGTGATCGTATGTGGCTTTGCTGGTGGCATGAGGTGATGCCAGTGTCTAACTGCACACCCCGTTCACAGGGACACGGAGCTGAGGCAGCGACGGCAGCTGTACGAGGCGGGTCTCCACTCTTCAGCGCGCTACGGCAGCCACGACAGCAGCAGCACGGGGATGGATGGAAAGAAAAAGCCTCGAAAGTGGTTGCAGTTAGAAACGTCAGAGAGGAGATGCCAGATTTGTCAGCACCTGTGCTATCTTTCCATGGTGGGTAAAATCCTCTGCTGACGCTGGGGTCCTGTCCCCCTTTTCTAAAATTCTGTTGAACTATAAGCATTTGAGAGGCAGCACATGACCACAGAGTCATCATCTCATGCACTCCTTGCGAGACACAGAGATGTTGATTTAGTTGTGCCAGAACATTTATCACCTTGGCCAGTGGTGACAGAAGACAACAGTTAGTGTCAGCTAACTTCCCTCACCTGTCAGGAAGGGATAAACCAGTCACTCAGCCACTCTTGGGCACCTGTGAGCATGTTTGCATTGCACTAGGAGGGGGTAACAGAGATACCTGCAGGTTGCCAGTAGTATTAAGTCATGGCAGAACAGATCTCAGGATGAGCTGGCAGCTCAGATACATGCCCCGAGTCTCAGGCATGCAGCTACAGCCCGTGCTGCAACGGTTTCCCTGGAAGCCAAATTGCAGGGTAGATGTATCCCATCTGTCAAGCTGTTTGCCAAACTGTCTGTTCAAAACCAGCAGTCACGCCCATAAACTTTCTCTGGTTTTAGAAGTAATTGCCCACTGGCATTTGAAGGTGTGCTAACCACTATGGTGACATTTGGATGTTTTTAGCTGTATGCAAAACACCTACAAATACAGCCACTTCATTAAAAACACCAAAAGCCCCTCCCACCACCTTATGTACCATTTAATTCCAAGAACAGATATTTAAATAAACATAATACAGTGCATTTGTGTCCATATTATATTTAGGCCCTTCCCCTTCCCCCAACCCCCATCTTTTGGCAGTTTTTTGGTTATAGATGTTAGGCTTTCAATGGAAATGAAATGTAACTATAAATGATCAGATGTAGCCATTTCCCTCCCTAGGGTAGAATATGCTGTCTTTTTACATGTCTTTAGACCACTGTTTAAGCAGCGCTAGTTTGATGTAACTTTAAAATGTGTTTATTAAAAAAACACACAACAAAAAACAAAGCACCAACCAGAACCTCTTAATTCTGGTCCATTTGCTCTGGAGTAAGTGTAATCATGGGAGGGATTTTCCCTTGTCACTCTTAACAGTAGTTGGAGACAAAAAAAAATCAAGTTGGTTGTTAAATTCCAAGCCGAGTGTGCAGGCTTGGCAGGCAGCCAGCCAAGCAAATATGACCTCTGCTGAACAAAGTAGCTGAGGAATCCTGTGGTTAAGCTGATTTTATCCTTATTCAAGACAGCATTTTAAGTAATGGGTAACTGCTCCTTTCAGGAGATCTTCAGACTACATAGAAGATGCCAATAAATGCATATACCATTTGGATTTAGCCTTCATTACTACTGGTGTTTTGGTTTGGTTTTTTTTCAAAATTATATGTATTTGCCAACATTAGCACTTTAAAAGGGATATGTTCTTCTTACTACACATTCTGAATCATTTCACAATGTGTGATGTTTATGCCTCCTTCCACTAACTTGCAGTAAAATCCAGCTTTAGTGATTCAGACAATAGCTCGATATTGTGTGCGTAACATGGCTACAATTTGGAGCTTACTGTGCTTCTTACCCCCTCCTCTGCTCTTTCATACAGGTTGTACAGGAGAATGAAAATGTTGTCTTCTGCTTGGAGTGTGCCCTGCGGCACGTGGAGAAACAGAAGTCTTGTCGGGGGCTGAAAATGATGTACCGTTACGATGAGGTCTGTACTGGCACAGCTGTGTGAGCTGGGGGGCTTTGATACCCAAAACTTAGGGCTGGGCTTAACTCTGCCTTTGTCCTACTGAGACATCAGGAAGCTGGTCTTGGGTTTGTTGTTATTTTGGTGTTTTTTTGTTGTTGTTGTTGTTTGGGGGTTTTTTGTATGTGTGTGCAAAGAAGGCACTTTATTATGATCTAAGTAAAACAAATAGAGGGAAACACGATGACCAAGATGAAACCTGAAGCATAAACTGCATGAATAGGTGTTCCAGAAGAGAGAAGCCATTTAATGCTTTGGTATGCTGTCAGACCTGAGGCTTTGCTTTCACTGGTAACTTCTGTACTTCAGGATACCTTCTCTCTGTTGGTAACTGAAAGTTCAGCTGTCTTGTTCCAGTCCAGCCTGAACATTTTTTAAGGCAGAGTTGCAGAGCACATGTAGATGAGAGGTCTGGTAACAGCTCCAAGCACATGTGATGATGGATAATCACAGAACTCAAGTTGATGATTTAGGGCTGTGCCTGGGCTCTGGGCTAATGCTACATGTCTCCACCTGTCCAGCTGGCCCCATTTCTCCCTTGGGTGTGAGGGGGCAGAGGCAGAGTAGAGACTGGGGCAGCAATTTACCATTAGCCTGAAAGGTAAGTAGCGAAGCAGTGGGAGAAATTACAAAATCAGCTTTTGGGGAGCAGCACTCGGTTCAAGCAGCCTTTTGAGATGGGCTCCTCAGCAGCTTTTGAGCACTGTCTCTCTGTTCTTTTTAAGTGACTGAAGAGCAGTTGCTGATTTGTGTTTTGTTTTTCCTACTTCCTGAACAGGAACAAATAATCAGTCTTGTCAATCAAATCTGTGGAAAAGTATCTGGTAAAAATGGCAGCATTGAGAACTGTATCAGCAAGCCTACACCAAAAAGAGGACCTCGTAAGAGAGCGACAGTTGACGTGCCATCATCTAGGCTTTCATCCTCCAGTTCATCCAAAAGTGCTTCAAGTTAATCCTGAAGATGCCAACACTCTCATTTTGTCAATTTATATATATTTTTTGTAATTATTATACCATAGTTTGGAGTACTTGCTGTAGAATACAAGCTGTCTTTGCACTAGCTCTAAAGAAGATTTTCTTCTGGTTTTAGAGAACTAATTTTGTTTTAGCATTAAACTGTTGAAAAAAAATTTTTTTTTTGTACTTAGAATAGATAGATACAGCAGTCTGATTTTTTTAAACTGCCGTATGTTCACTGTTTTGAAACTGGCAAGGGGCTGATAAAATATTAATTTGTATTGTCCCTATGGCTGAAAAAAATAAAAAGCCTTTTGGTAACTGTGAAAAAAGGCTTTTAACCCATTTTTGGATAGGTTAAAGTTTGATGTGTTTTATAATTTGTTCTCCAGTCATGTGAGCAGATTTTTCTAGAGAGAAAAGGGATAGGAGACAAAAACTTGAAAGAAATTGCTTTACTTTGGCTGTCTTTTATTCTGTCACGGCAAGATGAGTTTTGTAATTTTTTAAATTGGTGAATACACACTTTCTTTGGGAGGTTATGGCAGCTGAAGATGGACTTCGTTTCCTAACTGTAGGCAAAAGGAGGAGATTTGGAGTATGTTCTCTTTTACCAGCACATCACTATGCATCTGTTTTGAGGGGGAAAAATAAAAAATTTAAAAAAAGAAAAAAAAAAAAAAAAGAGGAAAAAAGACTGCCTGCCTTGAGGAGTCATGTGAGGGAAAACTGTGCCTGATTTCATTAGGAAATCCATTCTGTTATTTTTTGGTGCTGTTGGCTACTTTATCAAAAACCCTTCAATAGCATCCTTTAAAAATAGAAAAAAAAAAAGGAAAAAAAAGAAAAAAAAAGTGATTGAAGCCATAAGTGCTTCTTTTGTCATAGACGTGCAATCTTTCTAACATTCCATTTCCATTCCACTGCTGTTTTTCACACCTTTACACAGTCAAGCATTAATTTTTGTTTTGAATTTGTTTCATTGTATGATCACATTTAGAGCCACTAGCAGGTCTGCATATTTCTTTTGAATGTGAAAATGCATTTGCTTTCATCTTGTCTATTTTTTCTCTTCATGTTGTAACAAAAAAAAAAAAAAATCACACCTTTTGTACATATGCCTGTAAATTTTTTTAAATACTTGAGCCTTTTCTTGGGGTGGGGGGAGGGATGGCAAAGAGACAAGATGAAGAAAAGCCTTACGTTTCACTTTCTTCATCGGTTGGATTGGATGCTTACAGGGTTTTTCTTGTAACATTTATAAGTGCTGCTTACATCACTGAACAACAACAAAAAATAATAATGGAGTAGCTGTTGCCCTTTTCTGGTTGTGTGTACAGTATGTGTGGAATAAAAAAGGGAAAATGTTTTCACAAACTGTTTTGTTTCGTAATTGAATTCAACAATACCGTAGCTACCCATATTGCACTGAGCTTGCCAGTGGTGACTGTCAGGAAAGTCCTATAATACAATTTGTTGGTTGTTGTTGCAGAAGACTGAACTGTTTTGGAATATTTAACAATAACATAAACAGAGTCAAGTGTTTTCAAATGTGGTTGTCTGGTTTTTATGGCCTTGCTGTGTACTTTTCCCTCTTGACAGTAAACTTCTGACTATGGCTTACAGTTTGACATTTAATTTATTAGCGCTGCTCTGCTCTCTTTCCTTGTAAGGAAAGACTTCATGTTGTTTATTGCCAGTTTTTTGTTTACTTTCCAGGTTTGTACTACAAGGTTTAATAAAAAAAACCAAAACTTTTTTGGACATTTTGTCTGTCTTCTGGAAAGCAAGAGAGTAAAGGAGGCTCCTTCAAGAAAAGTTTCTTTCAGCAGATGCTTTGTTGAATAGTAAATCTCTTACTGTGGGTAGTGAGCTTCCAGCCTTCCTTTCCCAGGCAGGGGTTAGGAAACACTTTGTCAGCTAACAGTGAATCCTTAAGGAAGCTGGCCACTTCCCAGCTGGCGAGCAGCAGGAGATGCCTCGTTCCCTCGGTCTGTCAGGGCAGGTCTTTGGAAGGGATCTACATCACAGCTCGTCCTTGTACTTACGCTGTTTCTGATTACATTCCTTCCCTCCGTGCATGAAGAGCAGGAGCCAGGAGCCTTCTCAAAGGAGAGCAGATCCCTGCAAATAGAGCATGAGACTTGACAAGCAACAGGTGTTAGACATGTTCAGACCTCAAGTGTAGAGACAAAAATGACTGCAGAAAAAAACGGCAATAAGATGATGCCTATAGGTCCTAAAGTTCATAAAATATATGCACTTAATTTATAATTAATTCAGGTTTATTTTCCTTGCACTGCTGGCCTGCATCAGTGTAGTCAAACAGATGTTACCATGGGAAAACACATTACACTGGTGCTTCTAATAACCTTTTTTGTTTCCTGAATTAGGCTCCTCTGTATACTGTCATGGATAAAATACTTGGGTAGTCAAGTAAAAGACATGGTTGGGATAGAAATACTTTATTTTATCTCGAAAGAGGAGTTTACACAATGCTAAGATACCTGCTCCACAAGGAGTGTAACATTTCAGTATGCATCTCTCCTCCTTTTCAGGTTCTTATTTTTTCCTTAACACCTACAATAACTAAGTTGGTCCTGAATAAGAAGTGTGAGAACAGTAAACACTGCTGCATTCGTAGACAAAGGCAGGAGGCAGACAGTAGGTAGTAAAGAGTAGAAAATAACTTTTCATTTTGGTTTGGATCCTAAATCTTCAGTTGCAGCAGCTGAAAACATGCAAGGAACAATTTGGGTTCAGTGTTACACATCAACTCTTTAAGTATTTCCAATCAGCCATTTAAAGGTTAGTGGTCAAAGTAACGTCTATCTTTCCCCTTTAATTCTCTTATACATAGTATATACAACAGTTTTACTGCTCCCCTGAGCCCCAAGACTACTGTTAAAGTGTGTGTGCTTTAGGCGTATTTTTTTTTTCTTTAAAAACCAACCTCCATATGACTGGCAATTTTGTAAAAAGGCAGTTTTTACTAAGTAAAAAGATCTGGCTGTTATGCTCAGTTAGCAAATTGTTACACAGGCAAGCTCTTCATTCACTTGTTCATTCATTCAGAAGTCATTCTTAAAGGATATGGTTTTAAGATTCAAATAGTTTGAGAGTCACTTTCATCACTAGCATCTGAAGCACACTTTCTTTCAGTTACAGCAGCAAGGGCAGTGTCCACTTGAACTTCCTCTTCGTCAGACTGAACAACTGGAGACTCTCCTTCACTTGCATCTTGGCTGGCAGAATCAGTGCAGGTTGAGGACAGCGAAGACAGTTTTTGTCGTAACTCAGACTGGCTCGGGACCTGAAGACTTATCTCATTCACGTAGGTGTTGGTGTCAGGCCCTTGTAGTTGGAAAAAGAACAACAACAAAAATCAAGCTTTGGCTCGGCAAGGGAATCGGTCAGTCAGTACATGAACATTAGCTCAGCACCGGTTAGTGAGTCACATTCAGGCTGTTTTCCTCCGTTTGCAAAGCACCATTAGAAATCCCTCCCAGAACACAAAGCTGCTTTTGGCTTTTCTGAAGTTGATCTCTCATAACAAGCCCCAGGCTGGTTTTAATCTGTTTCTGATGGTGCGTATGTCTCTCGCTCATTCTGGAATCTCTAATGCTTGAGATAAATAAGGTAAGATGGCAGCAGCATTAAGTCCTGACTGTTAAGAGACATAGCTGATGCCCTGTTTGCCTGTTAGCAAAGACCACTTAATCCTCCTAACTGACTTTAATAACGTCCACTCGGACGTCAGCATGTCCTGAGAATCGTCACCAAGAGGAAAATCCTCCCAACAAACTGTCCAACTGAACGACACAAACCCTGGGGAAATAAAGAAAAAACCAAAAAACCCTAGAAGACAGGCACTGATAGCCATCTCCAGTTTTGACTAAAAATGAAGATGCAAAAGCAAAACAAATTCTTGCCCTCGTCATAAAAGCATTCCTCTGGTACAGCTCTACCATAGCTCAAGTCCACAGGAATGGGATTTTAAGACTATGCTTCCTCCATATCCTGTGCAAGAAAGTCTTCTAAGCAAGTTCAATTTAACAGTGTTTGCTTGCAGTTTGAGAGTTCAGGTTTCAAAATTAGATCCTCTTCCCTGGACAGTAACTGTCTATGTGCACTGCCAAATAAAGCCTTTTTTTCCTTCTCTATTACACAAGTGTTTCTCCATAATCAGCGCACCCACCTTCAACACTGAGTAACTCTAGTAAGAAAATACTCCTCTTAAAAATCTGTGAGATTTTGTTTTAAAAATGTTTCAGAAGGGTCAGATGGATGGATGAGCTGATCGCTACACCTTAGCTCTGCTCAGGCTGTTGGCAGAGCAGAGTAGTTCAAACTACACTGCCCTGTGACTGGTCCCCATAGTCTTACCAAGTACCTGAGTTAAATTTTAACAAGGAAAATGTCACAACAGCATCTGGAGGTAAGAAAAGCTTCTTGTACTAAATACTGTTGCTCTGGCACATTTCTTTCCCTAACTAGCTGCAATCTTAAATTCTGGTCCTAAACTTGGACAGCAACTTTATGTGACATTGTAGTAGCTCCTCTGGGACCCAGGAACTCTGTGGGGAAACGTGCCCTGGGCAGGACTCCAGTTCCAACACAAGTTGATAAACAACGGGTACATTCACAATTTTGACAGCTGACCAACTGGCCTGGGCAGAGAACATCCTGGCTGTGTCACTCCAGGATATCTGGTAGGTCTCCACTGAGTTGCTTCTTGAGGTAGTGCATGAATTTATATTGACTGGAAGTGATATTAGGAATCATGAGGCATCCCAAGAAATTTTAGAGACACCTGCCTTTATGTTGTGTACACCAGCATGCATTAGATTAATTTACACAACACACAGAGGGGAGTTTTCAGAAGGGACAGAGCGAAGTAAATTTTTCAGTTCAACTGCTTGTCCTGACCACCCACTATCTCCACTGACAGCAAAATGAAGAGTTACCTTTAAGTCATCTCATTTTTCTGAGAATTAAGACTATTGCATATTTAGTTTGATACTAGGGGACCAGGTTCCAAGCACAAAAAGCCCTTATTCAGAGGGAAATGAACCACAACAGCAAGGTTCACAGGACTGTTACACTGCAGTAGGAATAGCTGTCAAGGAGTAAATCTTGCTGCAAGTCCAGCCAAGCTCTGCAGAAAGGCTGCAGTGCTGGAACATCACAGCGTGGGTACATTCTATTAGTGTATGTGCATATATATACACTATCTATACACGCTGTAACACATCACAGCACAAAATAAATCACAGAGTTTTTTTCAAAGGCTGATAATTTTTACATCTATTTGTGAGAAAAAAACCAAACCAAAACCAAGACCAAACAAAACCAATCCCACCTAGTAGTTTCTGCACTTCCTTAGATCATCCAGTTAGACTGTTTGCTGTTAAGACACGAAGCCTCTTCATCCAACATCTGCCAGACCCAGCAAGAGGAAAACAGTCCTAGATTCTGTAATTACTGGCATGCTCAAATGATGATCAACTTTAATAATGCATGAATTTGATGCCTATCCAGAACCAGCCATCTGAATTCAGTTTTTGCAATGAAACACAAAACCCTTTAGTAGTCAAGTGTGCCTTAACTACTTATTCTAAGCTTTTCACATTCACAGCAGGTGTTAATCACCTGTATATAGGAAGTACCATAAGTACTTCTATAAAAATATTTCAATCTGCATTTTCAGAAGAAATCAAAAGTACCTCCAAAGGAACTTCACCATCTTCCCCAACAAAAATCATTTTGGCTCTTCTGAGAAAAGGCATTTTAGTACAGAAGTTTTTAACTGAGAAAACATAACTTCCCTGGTAGTTAAAAGATCCACTACCCAGACACTAATTCCCTACCTTTATGCAGATCCCTCATCATGCTGCAACTTGTCAGAACACAAATATGGTTTTGTTCATCAGAACACATAAACAAAATTTTGGATTAACTTAATCCAATTTAACTAACATTATTAGCAGGAGGAGGGCTACATGAAAGAGCTGCACTATCATACTCACTATTCAGAAGTTTCTAATACACTGTTATGTTTTATATGTGTGTGTGTGTGTATGAACTGCTGGGTTGAGCCATTTCTCTGAGTATCTCTCACTGAAGGTCTTACACTATACAACTGGTGCAAATTTACCAAGCCACATTCTGGACTTTCTGTTGATGTTTGTTAAAAAGTCCTCTGTTAATCCCATTCTGAGAAAAATGCACCTTAAAACAGTGTGTAACACATCACCCATCCATACTGTGATGAATACAACAGGAAGCTGCAGTAACTGGATGAAAAAAAGAGACAGCCCAGAAATACCACGTAGTTTCACGTCAAGCTCCCTTGTACAGGAACTAAATGTTTTGAAAAGCACTAATGAAGAATATTCCATCTACATCAACCATTACAAATGAGAGCAATTCTGGTGATTTATCACTGTGTCTCAAAGCACGCTGTCATTACTAGTACCATACCCAGCATGGGAGAAAGCATATTGTTGTCTTCGCCTCCTGAGTTTAAGAAGACATCAAGTGCTTCTTGGTCAGACATGTCCATTAGGTCCATCTGTTCCAGCATGTCCACATTCACTTCCATGGAAGACATACTCCCAATCGGTTCTGCAGTAAAAACAGTGCAATGAGCGAACTGACAATCATTATCACATACCAAGGCTTCAATAGCTGCTATTATTGTGTGCATTAGCAACAGTGAAACAAGGAAAGGAAGGAACGCACCCAGAGGAGCTGCTCAGCAGCAATTTCAGCCCAAATCCAAGCGCACTCTGTGCAATCTTTGTTGTGAAAATAACATCCATTACTGTTTTTGTAAAAACCACACATTTTTTAGAAACAACATTTATAGCAAAAGCATTGTCAGAAATGTGGTAGGATGGGGCTCAGGGGCAAAGATTGAAACTTTCCATTTTGGAACTCTAAAATTCTCTCAATTAAAAGTCTTTTTAGAGAAAACCAAACACATTTAAGCACACAATGTCAATATACAAGGGGTATGGAAATTCAAAAATAAGGATTCATGTTAACAGAGAGCAGCCATTCTCCCTCTCAGCTAATACAAGAAATGACAGTGGTATGCAAAACCTAGGCTCATGCCCAATATCTTCTCCCAGCATGGGGATTAGACATTATTAATTACTCAAGCAAACCACTTATTACTGTCAATATAATACTGACAACTTGCAAGGGAATTAAATACTTGGATAAGCATCTTCTTCCTTGAGCAACAAAACATGCAAACACAAAACAACTAAGTTCAGGGGTACCCAGATTTAAGCCCAGTTGCTACATGTGTAACATCAAATATTAAAATGAGCAGTTTATTGGTTTATGTAAATATAAAATTACACTCTTAAAAGTATTCATAGGTGAACTGAGATGAAATCCTTCTATTTGATTGGGTTTTTTTCCAAATATACTATAGCTCCGTAGTTTTGCATGTACTGCAAGACCAAATCTTTCATTAAAACACTTTCTTTGATACACGTGTTCCACATTATACTAAAAAGTTCCAAATGTCAGGTAGCTTAACACTCAAAGCCAGCTGTGTGTCCAGTACTACTAGCCCATGAGAATGTCCACTTTTACTCTAATGGACTATATATTACAGAAAGCAGGAGACCCAAACTCAGTTCCCCACTGGACCACAGATTTAGACTTACATATCCCACCTCTCCCTAGCTACCCATCTAAAAGCATCTTGCAGATGAGTATTTTTAGCACCCAAGCAGAGAAATGGAAATCTTGGATTGCATTCCCTGCTCTGACATTACAAATGATAGCAGAACTGGCCTTGGAACAGGGACAGAATCTCTACATTTTTTCCTGCTGCATGAATGCATAATTTCCCACTTGCTTCCTTACTGGTCCAACAATCCCTGCATTTTGGCCCAACAGATGGAAAACCTCCCACATAGAAGTGTCTGTAGTCTGTGGCATTCCTGTGCTTTAACTAGTCCAGAGATGCCAGACTTGCGTCATCTCGTAATAAGGAGAGACCTTTATCTGACCTTCCCTGTACTAATCACACACCCTGCATGTTACACACGCAGTGGAAACAGCTACCACCTGGGAACTGTTTTGCAATGCAATGCTGAGCTTTCCTCCGCACTTTTCAATTTTTTTCTGACGCACCTCCTTGCCAGGTGACAATCCCAGGCTTTGGAACTCCAGTGGACAGAAGAAGCTGCCTCCATCCCTATCTTTATAGACATAGATGCACTCTTCAGCTGCAGAGGAAAGTGCTGTTCCAGATGCACTTCAGTGCTCTGCATTTCCTCAGACAAGGAACAGAGTCTGGCTAATCTAAGGTATCTAGTTCCCCTGGGACACAAAGTTTGTTTGATTGGCTTATCTGAAGTTCCAGTTCCTCTGAGGAAGAACTTGGATGCTGCAGTGTGTTAAAACCGCTGCTGCCTCTGACCCCTCAACAACGTTCTCCAAGCTGTGAGTTTGTGCATTACATGGAATGTATTTTAAGACTTGCCTCGCCTCTCTGCTATCTGCAGGTATCCCGTAGAAAGGTATTGCTCCATGTCCTGCTGGAAGGCTTCTTCAAAGAACTTCTGGCGTTCCTTTAGCTTCATCTGCTGGGTGTGCTCCATGTCCAAAACCTTCTGTGCATGTTCAGCATCTAGTTCAGCTGAGCATAAAACAAACAAATAAGTAAAATATTGCATGTACAGCCCCCTGACTCTCAGAATTTAAAAGCTACGGAACCAGTTCAATACTGACAGATTGTTACTACAGACTGTTAACACAGGCTGTTATGAAAGAAGGCTTCTGGGCTTTGCAACTACATTTTAGAACAGGATAAGAATGCTATATTAGGCAGCATAACCTTCACATTAAAGTGATGTCATAACTATTTATTATCTTGAGGCAAGATGCAAATATCCTGAGCTGTATAAACAGGAATACCTGAAAGCCCCTGTCCACCACCAACAGGCATTTCGGAATTCTGCCAAAAATACCTCAGATAATGATGCTTCTGCAATCATATCTTCCTAATACGCACACAGAAGTAATACCTTTAATTTGAACATTGCAGCACATTTCCACCACAATGCAAGTGGAAAGATACATATATAGCTATGTGGACATAGACATAAATAAACATACATAAGTGTGTGTGTGTGTGTGTGTGTGTGTGTGTGTGTGTGTGCACATGTGTCTGAGATTCTGGGTTTGTTGGCCTTCAGACAGAATGGAAAAATCCTTTGAAGGATATCCTGCCTGAAGCAGAGGTATGTATCTACAGAAACCATGAAAGCAGCCTGAGCTGACAGGAGGTAGGTAATCAGTACTGTTTTTAAAGACACCACCACGCAGGCATTAATAAATATACAGCAGCAGAGAAGACAATGATGACACCAACACCATAAACGCAAAGCCAACTGCCATGAACTACCAATCTGACACCAAACAGAAAGGCCCAGCTCATATAGCCTGTACAGACACACAGTGACAACTGAATTTGCTTGGACGTAGCTGTGCTGGGTCTCTGGCAGTTCCTCTTTCCTCCTGCAGCAAAGGAAGTATCAGGCAGAATATCAGTAGAACTCCTTCCCCTGTCTTGCTCTACAGGAGTCACTGACTGGCCAGAGGACATACAAAGAAAAGAATCGTGCTGTTTAGTGAAGGATAACATCTTCAAAAATAAAAAGATGTGGCTGCTATTGAAATACCAACAGTAGCCAGACCACTAGTAGGCTATGCTTCAGAAAAATTGCTTATTAGGAGAAATATGTAAACTGTAACCCTTCCTCCCAGAGTTCTCTGCTCACTTTCCTGAACTGGTCTCGTGAGCACTCTGCTTACAATGAAACAAGAATTTGCTACTGCTGAGCTGCTGATGGAAGGGATGGAGGTGGCAAGAAGAGCTGCTGATCTGTTCTACCCATTAGAAGAAGCTCCAACAAATACCACTGGGTGAAAAATGTCCAAGCTTTCACACACCAGACAGACACAGCTAGAATATGGCATCCATACAGATAAATGCTGGAAGAGCACAAGGTTTTCTAGGACAAACATTGTGTCAGTCTTCCAGGAAAAATGTTATGTTAGTAATATTTTACAACACAGACACTCATTAAACACATTTACCATTATAGAGATTATTACCCAAACGCAGAGCATGTTTTATTAAATCAGGCCAAAGCATCAGAGAGCAGTAATTCACTCCGTTGCCTGCATCAAGGTCACAGATCATACACAGAAGCATCTGAGCTGTGAGAGATGCCAAAAGAAGCCAGAAAACCGGACTGTCTGACACACCAAATATTCATTAAAACACCAGTAAATAAGCTGAAATCTTTTTCTTCAAGCAGATTTCAGAGGTAAAACATCAGAGTATAAAAAGGAAAGCATCTTCCCTGAAGGCAACATGTCTTTATTATCAATTACACTGTGGTGTATGATGACTCTGTGTCCCCTGGAGCAACTCCTTTAATACGGGCCTGAATGATGAGCAATTATTAATAACATTGTCTATGATGCAGAAATGCTATTCAATTGTAATAATAAAAGCCAGAGGCTCTCACTGACAACAGAAATTTCCTGTCTTTCTCATGATACATTCTGACAGTTTTGCACTCTATATTGGGAGTTCAGGATATTTTTAACCCCGAAACAGAGATGGCATCCAAGTAAGAGATGAGAGTGATGCAAGCTCTTTCTTAACATTGAGCACTCTGTTTTTAACTTCTGCCTAAAATGGTCTGTTAAATTGAAATTGTCCCCGGCCAAAGCTAAATGGCAACAGCTGCCTGCAGTGCTGATGTGTTCCACAGAAACTCTACATACACATTCTTGAAGAGCTGTCACAGGCTCCTTCTCCAAAGTCTGTTACAGAGTTAACACCAAGAACCTTGCTGCACGATTTCACGCTCTGCCAGGTGTAATAAAAGTTGCTTGCCTAAGCAAAACCCAACTGCTACATTTGTGGTTTCTGTTTGTTGTCAGAAATGCTAAGGATGGCTCGATGAAGACAACAATCAAACATGAAACCATGGAAAATGGGTGCACTGCTTCTTTTATAATGCTGTTTTGTTTTTTTTTTTTTACATTTTCCATAAGCCAAGTGTAGTTTATAAAACACTGAAAGGAGACAGCACTGAAGGAGTTCTAAGAAAGAAAGGAGTATCACCCATATACCATCACACACTGCTCATATGAATTCCTCGCAGGATGCAGAGACCTGTCACACTTAAAATACTATTGTCTTTTTCCTTTCACCACAAAATTGTACCTTTCAGTTACTAACTGCACCTATGTCTCAATCACACTGCTGTGCACCGAAAGAAAAGACAACACTGAAAATGCTAATGCACAGTTAGATGGGGACATGCAGGAATTGTCACAATAACCCAAATAAAAGGTGACTTTAATTCTCCACGAGATGACCTTTAACAGAACAGAAACTAAAAGTAGGCAAAACATTTCTTAAAAATGGAAAACTTCTCCAAACACCTCAGCATGAGAAAAAGCTGTAGCCATCATCTCCTTCTGGCCCTGTGGATCGTGCCTATACCCCCTAATGGGGCTGGAAAGCTGTACTAGTTAATTCCAGCCATTAAAAGGACTGCCCTGTACTCTCAGAGGTCAATACAAAAAAACCACAAACAAACCAAAAACAGAGTCTAGAGTGTAGTCCTTAAAGCACTGATTTCCCTATAGGATTTTTTGGGAAAAAAATCACCATACAGCTGTACAAATAGGCCAAAGTCCTAGGAATCAAGGCAAGACTAGAAGCACAGTATTATTTGGTCCACGTTTCCACATCTCAATTTGCATTTTTGATATCTTTCTGCAGGCAGCAGCTCCGCTAACCAGACATTGTATTCCTATGACAAGATTAATTTATTAAAGCCAGGACCTCAAGAAAAATTAGTTCTTTCTAATGACTTTATAAAATATTGTGATTTATAAATTACCTCTATTTCTGGAAAAAAACTCACCTGCCTTGGGTCTTAAATGTTTGAACTAGACACGAGAAAAATCCAAATCCCAAAGAAACAAATTAAAATAGCTTATAACTGTATAAATCAAGTACAGGGGACACCATATTCTGATATCATTCCTAGGCCTGGTTGACACATTTTACAAATTAAAAATCTGCCACAGTACCTAAAGTTTCTATCCAACCAACAAAATCACCATTTTATACTTTAATATAAAAAAATTTCCAGCTATGCACAACAGATTTCCCAAAAAAAGTGTGGCTACAATTAAAACAAATTAGAAGAATGACTACAGGAAAAAAAAAACCAGCAATTGAAAACACTGGTTGTTTACATGGCTAACACAACCTTAAGGCCTAACATGAGAGATGTCAAGTTGTCCAAATGGATTGCTTTTTAGTGCCTCCATACTGTTATGCAATCAGTTTACTTCCCTTCAATCAACTTATTATGTAACTTTATAGTTCTCATGTGAAGTAGAACCCATAAATATATCTGTTCTAAAGAGAGAAAGGCACAGAGTAATGCAAAAAATGCCCTTTGTCCCCCTCCCTCTATAGTTCACTTGCTTTTTGTAGACCCATCCAGCCAGACCATAAAATGCACACGAGCATTCTTTGCGGGCTTTTTTGCTTTTGCTACAGATACCAAAGCTTCAAGCAGCCCTTCACTGAACTCACTCCTGGTTTTTGATGTTCCATTCACGCAGCCCAGGGTGCTGTGGCCTTCCCTGCTGCCAGGTGTCCATCACCTCCTCCAGGACAGAGCAGTGTGCTGCTTGTCACCAGCCTCCACGCAGGGCATGACCCATAATCTACCGCCCTCCAACCCCAACTGGTTATTTATCCATCCTGTTGCCCATCCATCCGGACTGTAACATCATAACTTGGCTACAACCGGTACTGTGTGAGGCTGCCAAAACCTATCAGTAACATGGCTATTCACTAAACAACCAAAACCCTTCAAAATCAGAAAAATAAAACCATAAAAACGGGCAGTGGAAGACAGCCAGCCAAGCAGTTTCTCAAGTGCACTATGACTTAGCAACTTATACTTGCAACTGCCTCATTACAGACCCTTTCAAGTAAAAATATCAAAGCAAGACAAGACGCCAGGGAGTGCTTCAAAGAATGCAGTTTTCCTCAAAAATGTTTAAAATTATACTTGACAGAATTTAGAGTACATTTTCATATGACCAGGGATGAAGCTCAGAGCACTACTGCTCTACACTCGGCTGACAAGCGGTGAGAGAGTGTTGGCAAAACGTGAAAAAAAAAAGTAGAATAAGCAACCTAGGTGCACACAGTCTTTCTTCCACATTAGAGGGAAAGGAAAATAACTAGAAGTTACAAGGCCTAGCAGTTTTTAAACTCTTATTTAACAGTTTCTTTACAAAGTGAATTGTTTTTACTAAATGTATATTCAAATAATTACAAACAATAAAATTAAGTTCCTGATTCACTGGAATGAAAAGTCAGGATTTAACTCAGTGACAGAAGGATTATCTTTGTTGTAAAAAACATACACTGTTCCAAATGAGATTTAATGTCTGACAACTCTCAAAAGCCTTCATTTTCATGAAGATATATTTTACTAAAATTAAGATTAACAAAAGAACCCAGTCATTAAAAGTTACTGTATGTATTTTTTCATAATATATGACCAGTGTTTTTATAGATTT